AGTTTATTTTTATTTCTTGTGTTCAGATTATGAACACTACTTTTTTTATGAAGGAATCGTAATGTTTTCTTGTGTACATAATATTCTCATAGATGTATTGAGAGTCAACAGTCAGAATATTTATTTCTTTAAATATTTATCTGAGAGATTACCTAGATCGTAAATTATATATAGCACGGACAGCTCTCTTTTGTAGAATAAAAATATCCTGAATGCCAGCCACAGAACCCCACAACAATATACCATACGTCATTACACTATGAAAATAACTAAAATATACCAATCTTGCCGTTTCAACATTTGTCACTGTGTAATTTTCTTAACAGAAAAAGCTGCAGAACTCAGTCTACTTGACAAGCTATCAATATGAGGATCCCATTGCAGTCGGGAATCTAGTGTAATACCAAGGAAATTTGTCGATTCTACTAACTCAACTTTTTCACTATTTACATTTACGAGTGTACTGACATGCCTCATATTAGGTAACGCAAACTTTATGCATTTCGTTTTATTTGAATTGAGCTTTAAATTATTATTATCAAACCACTGTAGAACATTGTCGAGAGCATTATTTACATCGTCAAAACAATCATTACCCCTCTCAACTTTAAACAGTAAAGAGGTGTCATCTGCAAATAATACTGTCTCGCACAAATTCTTTGTAAAGTGAGGAAGATCATTAATATAAATTAGAAAAAACAATGGTCCTAATACCGATCCCTGAGGTACGCTCACAGTAACTAGTGCCCCTGCAGATTTCGCTTCACTAATTACTACTTTTTGAATTCTAGCAGAAAGATATAATTTTATTAGATTAAGTGGATTTTTCGTCACGCCATAATGCTCTAATTTCCGCAACAGTGTTTCATGACTAACGCAGTCGAATGCTTTTGACAGATCGCAAAAAAAGCCAATAGCGTCTTGTTTATTCTCCCAAGCATCATAGATATGCCTCAGAAGTGCAATTCCAACGTCTGTGGTACATTTACCTCTGCTAAAGCCAAACTGATTTTGGTGAAGTAATTTGTTTAATGAAAAGTGTGCAAGGAGATGATTGTAAATAATTTTCTCAAATATTTGCAATTTGAAATCACTAAGAGAAATCTCACTCAAAAAGCACGTTTGACATTTTTTTACTCGAGTCACTCGTAAATGAGTGTGTGAAAGATTGTGAATGAGTCACAAAATCTTTCTCGAGTTGCATCACTACTTCTGAGACATCGTGAACCATTTTTTTTCATTATGAACAAGCTTCTCGCAATTTTTTAACTATTTTGAACCTCTTGTAATGTATAGTAATAATATAGTCTACAGACTTCAACGCGCACCGCTACCGTGGGCGATCACTGCGACCACTTAACTCTGTAGCCATAACTCTAGTCACAGGATACGACATCTTAGCGGATATTACGACGATATCTTTCGTTTAATTTCACTACTTTGACATGTCTTTTGGTGGAGAATTTGGTATAAATTACTAAGTTAGAAACATTGCTGTCAAATCTACATTCAACATATCTCATTCGCGCTTTATTATTAAAATAAATAGCAAAGTAGTGAAATGAAACAAAATGGCGCTATATTATAAGATCGCTAAGATCTTGTATTCTATGACTACTTTTATATTTAGAGGAGATAAGCGGTCACTCTGCAGGTGTTCCAGCACCTGATCTCTGCACTGGGTAGTAGTAGTAGAGTGACGTCTACCGTTAGTACTTCAACATACTGAAATATCAAGATTTAGAAAGTTCTATCATAGATTTGTCACAAGCTCTCCGCATATGAGATTAGAGGAAGTGTCTTCGCATTTTGTTTGAAATTTGATTATTCCAGAGGCCCCAAAAATAAGTTTGTATTAGTGACAAGATTGAATGGAAAAGTTGTATTGTTGCTCGAAGGGAAAAAAGGATTTTATATGTAATGGAAAGCAACTAAGAAAAAACTTTACTTTACTTACTTTTTAAATTGGCAATATTTTTAATTTTGATAAAGCAATAGACAAAGATTCACGAAAATAAATTCATTGTTACCGGTTTTCCAGATTTTTTAATATCTTTGTCTTGCAGTCCACTATCAATAATTAGAGAAATTCTTATTAGAAATTATAATTTTAATTTAAAATTGTAATTTTTATTCCAAGAACTTCGTTGGCGTGTACGAAATGGTATACTAAGAAATTTAATTTTGATTTTATTGTACCCACAGAACACTGAAAGACGTATGGATGACAGTAAAGCTACATAAGCTAGGTAATAACTTTGAAAAGAAATTTCGTAAATCTTATTTTTTTTTCAGGAATGCGGCTACAGTTTTGGTCATGACATAGGATACAACATCTTAGCAATGTTATGGTGATATATATTTGGTTTCAATTTACCACTTTCTATAATTCCGTTTCCAAGTCATGTGTAGATAATTTCCTAAGCGGATGCACCCCAGCACGTCATGTAGACAAACTCTACATTTTCATGCTACGCATGCAGGTAACTAAAACAATGACGAAAATGGAATTAATCGGAATGCTATCGCCATTGAAATAAAAATAATCGTTAACCTTACAAGACACTGGACCCTGGGACAGATTTTTTTATGTAGTTATCGAATATTGAATTCAGATTTATTACAATTGGAGAAATCCATATTATATTATAAAGAGATAGAGTTTCTAGTTTTGTCCTTCTTTCTTCTTTCACCTTCTGTAATTTACATCAACGTGAGTGATAAAGCTATATATTACGAGGGCGAGGTGTAGGGCTGAGTGTATAGTTTCGAATTATTGGAAACTAGCTTATTTCCCTCCGCGTCAGGATAAATTGCAAGCTATATCACCCTCGTATGAATAAACCTACCAAGTTAGAAACTCTACCTGTTTATAATATTAGTAGGTATAGATAGGTTATTTAGAAAACTTGTTAATAAAGGTCATATCAAAATAAGACAAAGATTAACTATACAATCGTTTAATATTTGTAACAACTCTTATTTTAAACATATAAATATCATCATAGTTTTAAAAACACTTCCTTTTTTGATGATATAACTGATGCAGGTTATTTAAAAATTAATTGGTGCCTTTATTACAAATAAAGAATACCTATATTTACATTATTACTTTTTACACTAGTGTTTCCAGTCAATACATTTGAAATTTATTTAACTAGCTTTCCGTCAGCTGCTTTGGTGGCATATTTTACATGATGACTTGATAAAAAAGCTTATATGTTAATTCAGGCTCTGAGTTATACATTTATCAAGTTTCATCAAATTTCTTTCAGCAGTTTTTACAAGCAAAGAGTAACAAATATACATCTACCCTCACAAACTTTCGCATTTATAATATAAGTAGGATTAAAAGAAAAAGGAAAATATCGTGGTCACTAGGATAATTTTAAGTTTATTGATAAATGCTTTTTAATCAAACATATTTTCATATGTGCGAACCACAGACCGCATCGAGGATAGATTCTGTGGTATAAATGTCAATTAAAAATTAAATACAGGACAAATATGTGGCCAGTGTACATTTAATGTTGTGTTTGTTACGGTCAATCATATTTATGTTTTTTTTTATTTTAACTTGCTAATATCGGAGATATAAAATAAGTAAATTGACTATAAATACGGTAACACATAAGATGTATATGCTCCACCTAAGGTCGATAACCGTTTTTAATCAATATAGCGACAGCTCGTTCGCTACTTTAACACCTTATTTAAGTTATCACCTCATAATCCTAAATAGTAATTTAATAAATCTTATAATAGTCAAGTTATTTATGTCGGCCATATAAATTAGCTATAAGCATAGGCATTAAACTATACATATTTAAATTTCTTTGGTTACATTTTATTGATGGGCGTTAGTCTTTCAATTCTTATTATTTTATTGTGTATGCACTCTGTCTATTATACTAATGCCAGAACAGTGTATATGTATTTTATGATGTGTTTAAAACAATATACATAAAATAAACTGAATATTATGTATCTTAAAATTATATGTACAGGAAAAAATTTAAGTCAGTGCACAAAATTTATGTGTGTGTCATAATTTTTCTCCTTTTTTCCAATACTAATAAAAATAAGAAAACTGATGCTACTAATGATAATACCTACTGTACACGGAGACCGATTATTGTTTTTAGTCAATGTACCGGCTGTTTTTTTTTTAATTATTATGCAATTCAAACAATTTACTATGTTATTGGTTAAATGGCACTATAAAATCCACAAAAGTTTGTAGATAGAGTCAAGCATTTTTAGCACCAGTAATTTCTTAATTTATGATAAATTGCAGAGAACATTTTATTCTGTTGATACTTTATTGAGAAGAGTATATTGATATGCCATTATACTTTAAAGTTAATTCTTGACATTTATCTGTTATTGTTAACATTACATCGATACAAAATGCAAACAAATAAATTTATTGATATGTGTACATACATATCTAATTTATATCTTTAAAATAATGTTTTTATATTCTTTCACATTGTGATTTTTGTCCTAATTATCAATGGAGCATTGCGAATGCAAAAGTCAATCGTATAATTATTAATAAAACCCTTCTTGGCATTTAAATATATACACAACTTAATGTGATGTGAGCGTAAGCAAGTCACGTTACATAATACATATAACTATGGCTTGGTTTATATGCACTCTTATGTATAGATGCAAATTCACAATACTTTTTTTATTATTATTAGTTGCTACAAATACAAATAAACATTACAATGTTAATAAATATTAAAATTAAATTATTAATAAAATTTATAATAGAAAATTCAAAAACACTTTTTTTTCATCGTTAATATGTATTATTGATATGTTCTAAACATTATTTTACCGAAGAGTAGTCTAAAAGCAAGTAGATCTACCACTCATCATCTGTTTTATTTGTTAAAATTTTATTCAATGTCTAAAATCTTAATATGAACCTATTTTTAACGATCAGAACAGAGCTTTATAAAATGCAACAGATTTGTTGTTTGTCTTAAGTCCTTTTAAATTTTCCATATATATCAAACATAGCTTGTACTGCATTCAGTTATTATATTGCAGTCGAAGTCATTAACGAAAAAAAAATTACGTGTTATAATTATTTCAAATTTAAATAATACAATACTAAAAACACTTATAACTTGATACATATTTACCTTTTTTTCATAAAATTATAGGTAATTATTGCCAAAGATAAATAAATTAAACCTATATTAAACTTTATAGCTATTTTTATTTAATATCACCAGACTGTCACTTTGTGTTCTACATTTCAACCTCTTTCAAATAAAAAGGTCGAATAAAATACAGCCTCATAGAACATGACATAACACTACACGTTGGTTAGGTTGTATTACAACGTTTTATTTAGACCTGCTAATATAATTTATAACTTGTCTCATTTGTTTAGTATCACAATATTACGTATAGATTATAAGTAAAATACAATTTTACAATTGTACATTAAATAGCCACTGCGAGACTTTGTATTTTAAATTTGCTATTCTTGTCACTACTTGGTGACTTTGCCTACATGTTACGCCTATAACCACCAGTTAAAATATTCCAAATATGTCTAAATACAGATGCTCCTGATTTTTGTCGTTCCACCTTGGCTTCATTCTTGAAGTGCTTCCATTCCTCACGAATGACATCATCATATGGACCCCAGTTGAGCTTAGAGCGGAAAGCTTTCTTAATTGTCTGAAAAATTACACATCGTAAGTAGGTATACTAATTTTACAAAATAAAAAAGGAATTGTAATATTTTATTGGAGTAGCACGATGGTGAAGTGGATAAGATAGCGTAGTTGTTAAGCAACTTTTGCAAGGGTCGGTCATGGGATAGGTGACCAAAAAATTATTATCTCGAGGGAAAGTGAAGTGAAGGAAGGCATGTTAGACCGTTCGTCTCCGGCTGCATTTGCAGTCGCTAATATCACCCAACCCGTTTTGGAACAGCGTGAAGGGTCATGGTCCATACTTCTTAATCATTCATAAGGAAGGCATGAGCCCCTGCACAGTGTATAATATTTAAATTAACATCTAAGAAATGAAAAACGTACTTGGCCTAAGTTTCCGGTTCTATTTTTGTACATGGTGACGCCAATGAAAATTGGCACAAACAATATACCCACTAACAACATCATATATCCAGCAACTGAAAAAGAAAAAAAAACATGTTAGTAAGTTGGTCTCAAAATTCTAAAATATGTGATGACAAACTGAGCGAATAAACTTTAGAAAATTTACCTAATCCAGCTGTGGGGTAGTAATAATCCTCGCCGAAGACAAGATCCTCGTATGAAATTAGGGCATAAATGAAGACGACAATCATCATAGCGGGTGTGATGACGCCCCAGCAACAACGCCAGTAGAATGAAGTCTTAATACCGAGCATAAACTCAATATCTAACGCAATATTCTCCAAACCTGTAAACAATAACCATCCAAACTATGAATATTATCTGTAACGAGCTATTTAAAATGGTCATTTACTGATTGTCATTGCAAGATGTCTCAAGATTAGAATACAATTATTATGACTCCATTACCATCTTGCTGATAATAAAAAAAAAATTCTTTCTTACAAATTTTGATAAACATAAATCGCTTGTAAAATCTTTACAGGAGTTACGGGGAGTAGGAGCAAAGTTAAATTTTTGTAAAAGAACTGTACAAAATTTACCGTATATCCAGAAAACGCCCACAATTTCAGCGATAGCACAGAATAGAGCCAGGAAAGTTCCACCATAGTAGTCGACCAGTTCTAATATGTATTGACCTCCCTTAAAGTGAATAATTAGAAAGATATTGAATAAGTTCATTTAATAGGTATACTTATATCTATATAATGTTCCATGTTTACGTCTAACATCTATAACAATTCAGTGCAATCTTGTAGATTGTTGATTCTTCTGGGATTATACAGAGATATTGTTTCTTCGTGTAAGTTATCAGAAATAATACAATTAAAAAGTTACTTATTAGCAAGGCTAGGTAGTTATATGTCTTTTGTAAAGTAGATGACATTATATAATCCTACAGAAACTTACAGGTGTGACGTAGGTCAATCCTATAAGAAAGCCGGCGGTGCAACATAAGGCTGACATGTAGATGGTGCGCACGCGCGGGAACGAGTCCATCAGCACAGTATTGATGGTGGACATGAGAGCTACCGCCGATCCTACGCCCAGCACTGACATCATCAGGAAAAACAACACCCCGAACAGCTGAATAAAACATTTACTTTGATTAGTCCAGAGCCGGCCCGTTCATATAGGAAATCTAGGTAACTGCCTAGAGCGCTCCTATTGGGGGACGGCATGGCATGGCAAACAAGATTCTGTTTACTCTAATTGGAACCTTAAATATACATTAAAAATCCTAACTTTTTGAACATGGGTCCGCGGTATTTTTGTATGGGTTCTGCGTTCTAGTGTTTTGCCTAGGGTACTGAGTTCCAGTGTTTTGCCTAGGGTGTCAAGTTCCAGTGTTTTGCATAGGGTGCCAAGTTCTAGTGTTTTGCCTAAGGCGCCGTGTTTCAATCTTTTGCCTAGAAGTTTTATTGTGGCCCGGCGCTAGATTAGTCCCTGATCTACATATAATAATATTGTGACGAAAAATGATTTAATTGTTTGTTTGTTTCCATTGAATAGTCTCCGAAACTACTTAATCGATTTTGAAAATCTTTCTCGTATGTGAAGTGACATCATACGCGGTTGTAAAAGCCTAATGTTATAATAGGTTGATGTGGCTATCGACCACTTTTTAATGCGTTGCGTTGCGTTGGAGACAGATATTGAACGAAGGGCTTTCCGCTGCCTGAGTTTTAAGATAAGGCAAGTACTGATGAAATAGTCTAATATCTAACTACATGGTTTTAAAACGAAATTTTCTTTTGCTCGATACCCACCTGGGGCATGAAAGTTTTAGCGATGGCGTCAGGATAGGAGACAAAGGCCAAGCCGGTTCCGGCTGAGCCCACTACTTCTCCTACGGGTCGGTCGAGCTCAGAGGCGAGGTTGCCTAGGATACCGAAGATAGTCACCCCAGACAGTAGGCTTGTGAACGTATCCAAGGTTGTCACGATCATCGCGTCTCTGAAAGTAGGTCAACGTTTTTTTAGCAAACATTCCTCTTCAGATTATTTATTGAATTTAATTACACTTTTTAATTGATAAAATTAAATAAAAAAACATCGCTTAAATTGCACAAGTCTCAAGTTAAGTAACCAAATTCTTTTCATTATTACCCCTCAGACGTAAGAAGATTTTTAGGTTTCGACGACAGGTGTAGTAATTGATTGTTTTGATTAAGACTGAATAATTTTAAATTACTTTTATCATGTACTAAAACTATTAAAACCACTTAATTACCTGTAAATATTTTGTCTAAACCCGTTGTATGATGAGAACATAATTATGGCACCAGTACAAATCGATAATGAGAAGAAAAGTTGTGTTACAGCAGCATACCACACCTGGAATCGTAAAACATATAAATTTTTATTTTTTATTTTTGCTAAATTGATAACAAATATTTTGGACTTTGGTAGTGAATGGTTTCCAGACCAAGGTCTGGTGATGATGGAGCTGGAAGGTGGTCATAGGAACTTAGCAATTAAATAACGCAACTGCTTCGTGCTTGGGCTCTTTAGATCCGTGTTTATGAGAGCAACAACATACACAACAAGACTAAAAAAATAAAAATATAAATTAAAAAAAGATTTATTATGAACAAGCTTTTATTTGTGCAAATGGAGTCGGAGACGAGAAAATACACATATTTTACGCGTAAAATATATGTATTTTGATTATAATAAAATTTTGATTATAAGTACTTTAAATATTTAAATTTTATTTATGTACGTTTTAGAGTTAAGTAAGTTTAGTTTAGTATAGTTTAGTAAGTTTGTTCTTCAAAACCTAAATAGGTATTTTACTTAAATTTGTAATAAATTAGCAGTTTTATATAAGTAGGATATTTTGCCATGTAAAACGTAAAAACTTAATTTATTAAGAAGTCGAGATTTTATACTTTTTTGAATTCAGAAACCACCCGATAGTGGGGAGAGCTGCTGTCAAATTCAAAATTGCAATGGTGCTGTTTCGTGCTCTTGATTGGATACACTAATGCCATAGTATGTTAGTGAACCAATCAAAGGAGTGGAGCGGCGTAATTGCAATGTCAATCGGTTAAGATTGCGTTTAAGAGTAAGGGGGCAGGTCTAATTAGGTATTACCCTTTCACTTGAAGTGAAATCAGGTACGTATGTATCCGTGGTTTGATGATATTTATTCTCTAATAATTAAATAAAATAATCATTTCTAAATTTCTAAACTTTAAAAATTTCACTGTTTGTTGGAAAAAGCGGTCTACTGTCCGAGTCTTAAAAAATAGCGTCACAAAAAAGAATGTCGGCAAATTCGAAGATAAAACTCTAATAAATTAATTCCTTAATACTGATAACGTTATAATTGATAAAATTTTGCATTCACAACGAACGTGTAGGTATATATTTGATGGTTATCTTATAGTAAAATACTTTTTCTATGATACTTACTTATAACATTCTTGTTTAATGATGACCCAATTAAAACCTAGTATTCTTGAATAATAATATGTACTAAAATTATAAGGACTGATGATGCTTACATTAAGCTCCAATAACTTCTCCCATTGAGGAGTGATGAAGAAAAGTATCCCATCACCAGCCCCCTCCAAAAGACAGGTACTGAAAGTAATAATTTAAGATAAAAACTTTGTAGCACCTACAGACAAAAAATTTATGGCTCTTAAATAGCTTCATAATATAGATAGTTTAAAAGGGAATATCAAAGGTCTACTATCTTATATCGTTAGTTAGTTGAGTCATCTCGAGATTTGCAATTTATAATATTTTGAGCGATTTTTGTAAAAGTTATGAAAAATATTGTAAATTGTAATGAGTCAAGATCAAGTTTTGCTAAATCTGACTATGTTGTGTAAACTTACTTTTTCTCATGTATATATGGTATTATTAATATACATACGGTTCTATAAATTTTCTCGATTGTAAAAACCCACAACAGTTATTAAATATAGGAATATAGAAATATTCCAGAATTGAATGTTAGTGAATACCACAAACTGTAGCTAACTAATCATTCAAACTCAGTATATTAGACAAAAGTCTAAAGTGTGGCAAATTAGCACTTTTATTTTTATATATTTAATTGTTCGTTAAGTGGTCTTAGCTTTATTAACCCAATAACTTTCTATTTAATATTAATTATATTATTTCTTACGTAATAAGAAGAATAATCATGACGACGTATGGAAACAAGGCGAGGAAATAAGCGGCCTTCCCTGAACTCTTGACTCCGCGTGCGACAACCATGAAGATGATCAGCCACGAAGCCAGTAAGCATAAAGTTAAGTCCCATATTGGTGCACCTATAATAAAAAGAATATTTTATCTAATACGTATATTTTTTAAATAAAGCACAACTATTTACAGGTGTAACATGAATTTTATTTAATGATAATATGGGCGTAGACATTTTTTTTATATTTTAAAGATATACATGAAATATATCTAAAAATATTTTTTAAAATATCATTCGTCTAATAAATTAAAATGTTAAAATAAATTAAATTTTCAAAATTTCCCGTGAAAACGCCACTTCTGTCATACCGACGTTATGACGTCACGGCACACTAATATCGTATACGTATGTATAAGGTCGAATTCTCCAAGTTCTGATATGAGTTAGAAGAGCGTGACGTCACGGGCTGTTTGTGGTCACGTGACAACGAACATAAAATATTTATCTTTTCATAATTAATTTAAGCAATATTATAAATATAATAAGCATGAATGTGTAATAGGGATGATGACTGGGTAAAAAAAATGCAATTCTATTTAGTCCGTCAGTCAGATAATAGAAAAATTTAACTTCAATTTAACAAGAAATAGTATAGATAACAGGCATTAAAGTTGAAGAGTGGGGGCTCGCTACGTCACAGTTGAGTAGAAAACGTACTCTAACGTGACGTCATGTGAAGTTTCAATTCAATGTAACGCCGTAATTTTATGATTAGGAAAAAAATAAAAAAAATACGTGTTTAATATTTTTTAACACTCTACCTGACGGACAAACAAACAAAAATTAGTCATCATCCCTATTATCGGTAATAGTATATTAAACACTACCAGAAAAAATATGTATTTATTTTCGTTTACTGTCTACACCCGTATTGAAAAATTAGTTGCTTAGGAGACTTTGGTAAGTCCGTCTTCGTAATACCATTATCCGGCCAAAATAAGTCAACATGTTTCAACTTGACATTTTTAGGATTCCGTACCCAAAGAAAGGGTAAAATGGGACACTATTACTAAGACTTTGCTGTCCATCCGTCCGTATAGTTAAACGATAGTTAGACAGTTGAACTTTTCACAGATGATGAATTTCTGTTGCTGCTGTAACAAGTACTAAAAAACCAATAAAATAAATAAAATAAAATAAAAATGTGATGAGAGCTCCTTTACAACAAACGTGATTTTTGCTCGTTTTAAGCTCTTAAAGTATTTGTTTCGTAATAAAAAATTAGCCTCTGTCCTATTCCCTAGGTTCTCTTTGAACTAACTTTCATCAAAATCGGTCCGATCATCCTTTTTCTTTACTAATATTATAAAACTGATGAGTTTGTTTGAACGCGCTAATCTCAGGAACTACCGGTTCGAATTTAAAAAATCTTTTTGTGTTGAATATACCATTTATCGAGGAAGGCTTTAGGCTATATAACATAACCCTGCAACTATTAGGAGCGAAGAAATAATGGAAAACGCGGACGTAGTCGCTGGCGGCCACTAGTGAGCTATAAATAGTGCAACTAAAACGATTTTCATAAGACAGTACGGATCCTAAGGAGTCAAACTCGCACAGGGCTAATCCAAGTACTAAGTTTAGTCCTCGATTTATAATAAGACGGAATATTATTATATTTCATCAATATCACATTCACATTGCTATACTGAAGAATATTCTTAATACTCAATAAGATGGAATATGTTTAAAATAAGAAAAAGTATTTACTAACCCAATCCACCCTCGATACCATCGATCTGCCTTAGTACTCTATGCCTGAAAAATCAATGCAAATAATGTTTAATGGTAGGGCTTATTATTAAATGCTGTTTTTCTAAGTCAAATAAACATTCGGTATCAAATTGTAAATAAGTATATGATTCGTGTCCATCAATCTAAAAATCGTAAATGTTTATTAATTCGGTTAATACAAAGTTGATTAGGAGACCTTTCTATGATTAATAATATTTTTATCGCATTTGTAGATAATACCTTAATATATAAAGAAAATGAAGAAATCGGCCAAGGGTGTGTAAGGTTAGTCTAAGTGTTGGGTTCTATGGATTTGATGAAGTTTTACCGTTTATTTCTTTAAGTTTATTTTAAGTATGGCTAGTTAACTTGTAAAATCGTAGGTTTCTTGTAAGTTGTTGTATATTAATATTTTTTCTGATGTCTATACATTTAGCTAGTAGGATACATTTGACTATAACAATGAAACTAATCGATTTCCAAACATTCCAACAAATAGTTTCACTTTCGTTATTACTTATAGTCTCCCTATTTTCTGAGATTTAAGAGGTAAATAAATCCAAAAAGCTATTTTATAGGGATATATTCTCATGATATAGATAGAGACTAGCGAATTACGCGGTAAAAACAATTATCAAGCAGACTTCGATAAGGTAGAAGGTTATATGTTCTAAAGACACTCGCATATTTATCAAGTTTTCTTAAAAAAGGGTTTAATGACCAAGAAATTTAAAAAATGCGAATTTTAGGGGTATTTTTGTAATTTTTTCTATCGAGATTTTTTCACATCACCTTTTGGCTGTATGTAACAGCTCAATGTTGCCTTCGAAATATTTTTTTTTTAAATATGACGTTATTTCTTGGCACAAAACCAGTGAAAGTTAGTATTGCGCTCTTTAAGCGTAAATGAATTTTCCTGATTCTAATAACGATTTTTCGTTCAAAAATAATCCACAGTATATAAAATATTATGATATCACTTCGTAGAACTAGTATGTAATTTGTAATGCAATAAAAGTAAAAATACTTAAAAAGAGATCCAATTATCCGAATGATTACTGATAGGTATATGGATTTGAAGTTTTCCGATATCATCGGCTAATCAAAGAGCTGGTCATGCGTTTAATTTAAATGACCGAATTATGCGATAACAAAATGGTAATAGATAGATAGCAATTAAGATATACCTACATATTTTGTATAAGAAATTAAGATATACCTACATATTTTATTTAAGTGAAGTAATATAAATAAATTTAAAATTCATGTAAAGAACATACTTATGAGTAAAGGCTATTATAAAGTTGATGATTATTTTAAGGATCGCAATGCATGGAATTAATAGCCATCGCTTTGTTCTATAAAGACTAATTATATTTTCAAGCTATGTCCTACAGAGTTTGAAAGTTGTATTTATTATTGTGATAATACATATTATTTTGGTAATGACAAGATTTATGTAAATGTCATTATATCATTAATATGATAAAGAGGAGGTAAGTTTCTTTCGCTTGTTCTTCTTGTCAACTAAAATACGTCCTGAACAAGTGGGAGGGGAAAAAATTTTTTTTGACGATTCTAAAGTGCTTGTAATAGCCTACTTGAATAAAGATATTTTCATTTCATTAAATGTGTCAAATTTCTTCAGTGTGTTTTAAACCTTAATGCATTAAGGGTAGTGATTATTAGCGATTGCGAAAACTGGACATATTTATGGTAACTATTGCTGTGTGTATAACGTGGAGAATGTTGACACATTGTAAGGAAAACTGTAGTGGAGATTTACATTTTATTGAACGGAACACGTGCTATTTTGTTTAGGTGACTATTATAGTTTTACTTTGTACCTGTCTAGGTACAATAGCTACAGATTGTAATGTGCGCTTGAAAAGCGTTAATATGCTTATTTACATAATAAGTAATATATTACCATAAATATTAAGCTCTGTAACGGTGCGGCATACCATCGTTCACACCGTTCGTCTTGTTCCTAGATACATCTCAACTTTTTTACGTAGCTAAATTAAGGAAATACTCTATTTTATATTTTTTTAAATAAAATACATTTATATAGTTATTTTTTGATAAAAACGACAGCAAAGAGTTCTACGTTACAATTTTTTATTTTATTATTCAAATATGTTACTGCGTTTCTGTTTTGAACCGGCCTCTATAATTTTCCATTTATAGTAAATATTGTATCATTGTAATTAATTTATAGTAAATATGAAAATCAGTAATTTGTTTCACAAGCAAATATACTCGTATTACTCAAATTGCAGATATGCGTAAGTCTCTTAATTTTATATTTTTATCTGCTATATATTTTCTATACTTTTATAATTACTGGCACGTGTGTGTGTTATTTAAGCAAATAAAATTATATTTAATTCATTTATTTCAATTAATAATAAATAAAGAGTATTTCAGTAACATAATGGACGAGCGCTACTGCTTGCGATCGTTGTTATTAAGTAACGTTCGCAAGGGTCAGACACAGGATGACTGACTAAAAATGATTATCTAGAGCTATTCCGTGTTACGGAATGCACGTTAAGCCGTTGGTCTTAGCTACATTTGCAGTCGTTAATACCCTCCAAACCGTATTCAGCCAGCGTGGAGGGTCATGGGCCATCCTCCTTAAACATCCATGTGGAAGGCCCTGCAGTGTGGACGTAAAAGGGCATGATGAATAAAACATACTTAGGTACTTATATAAAATACTCACGTAAAATACAGTTCAGCGCTGCTAGTAGCGTTTTCCGGGGGGATGAAGTCAGGGTTTGGTTGGGAAGGCAAACAAGGCTCTGTCCATGCCTCGTCGCAAACTGCCCACGGCAAGGTGGCATTGAAACTCATGGCAAAGTAGAACAGGCACAGTGCGATTATGGACACGTAGTACGACAGGATGTAACCACAAGTAAGCGCTTGCGCATATCCAGTGCCTAAAAATTAACAAATGATGTCCGAATTAAAATTTCATGTTTGCGAATAAATCTTGATTTGGTAAAGTAGCTACAGTAAATTTCTTCACCCGATTTTTAACCACAATACATTGGAGGTAAAGTTGAAATTACGATAATTTGACATATTGTGGTAATCTGATGTGTTGCTCTGTGTACAATAATAAATTTGTATTGTGTTATATAGGTTACATTATACTTTATTTTAAATCATACCATCGTAATATTTTGTTATTTTTAAAAAATTGTTATCGAAAAGCCTTCATAGCCTAATGAAGTCATCCAGTTGGGTTTCTATTTAAATAAAATAAAAAAGCGGTCTTTATTGAGAATTTTTTGTCAGTTCTTCCCAGTATAAGATACGCTGTAGGTTTACGAAACAATGACATGGTATTTCAAATTTCGATATACATAACTGCTTAGAAACGTAAAGCTCAGACAGACTAAATAAATGATTTTGAGTTCAGATAAATGCGTTATGCTGTAGTCCTCATTGAAAATGTGGGACAAATAAGTTACATATATACAACTTGTATGAATAAACATATTTTATTTCTCCCAAAACGAAATTTCGTCTTTTCGAAATAGTAATAATACCTATATCTCCAAAGAAAGGATTTTTTTTTATAAATTTATGATGCATCGGAGATAGTACCTGCAACTGCCTCTGATGCACAGATAATCGATAACAAAATTATAGGAACGATTCGAAACTTTGTTGAATTAATTCCTACGAGTTATAGTCAAAGAAATATAATGATATTCCTGTATACTAAAATTTATTAACTTCCCTTCTATTATCTTAGTTGCATTGCATTCAGCGCCGGCTCAATGAAACTTGGCGCCTAAGGCAAAACACTGAAACGACACCCATAAAACAATAACAAATAAGGAATGTAGGTAGAACGATTTCAAGAGTGTTTACCATTAACCAAAGAAACTCCTTAAATTAGTCTCAGAGTTTTGTACTTTAGAATACCGCGGATATAGATTCATGTTCATAGAGTCAAAAAGTAACTCCTGAAGTTGGTTTTAAAATTTTTGTACTTTAGAATACCGCGGATAAAACCATTTTCGACAAGGTTTCAAATAATTCGAGAAAAATGGGTTAGGACATACTGTTCCTGTCTATATCGATGGGCCGGTCCTATAGCATTGTAATCTAAAATAACCTGTATGCAACAGCTTAATTGGTAGAGGGTATTTTTTTAAATTAAGTTACTATATTTATACTACTACATACATTGTAGGTGAAATAAATGCTTGTCAATCATTCCACTTTACCTTTCATAGCAGGTGCCAACGCCCAGACTTTGACAGAGTTCCTGGTGCTGAACTGTCCCAGCATACACTCGAGGTAGTACATGGGTTTGCCAATAAGGAACAAGACAATGATGTAAGGCACTAGGAAAGCACCACCTCCGTTCTGGTAAGCCACAAAGGGAAACCGCCACACGTTACCCAGGCCTACTGACGTTGCAATACAGGACATCAGGAATTCGATCTGATTTCCCCACATCGCCCGCTGCGGTGCATCAGGCTTTTTATTTGGTTCATTGTCCTAAAAAACTTTTACAAGTAAAGTTTCATTCCAGACAAACTTATATATATATTCTAAATTATTATAACATAAATAGTACTTATATGTTCTGGTATTCTATGGGATGTTAGGTAAATCTGACCAGGATAAATGTCTGAAAATAACAGAGCATGCAACGATCTAACAGCAAGTATAGAGCTCAGCGGATTCGTCAAGTCCGCGTTCGCTTACTCAATTATTTAATCACGAAAATAGATTAAAAATAAGTAGAGACTCGTACGTACGGTTTCTAGGTGCCACCATCTCTGAGGTCATGGGTCCGATTCCCGGTCAGGTCAATGTAGAAAATGAACATTTTTATATTTACATTTGCTTCTTGGACTGTCTAATATTTGATAATTCATTAAATGGTACTAATTCACTAATATCTTATTTACTAATTAATAAGATAGGTAAATCTCACGGTAGTCTCATTACAAGGTGATTCTGTGTCCTAGTCAGTTTAGACCCATAATCGTTTAATGTTTCCCTGTTATCTAAAATCGATATCTAATTTATTTACGATCGACGCGCTATCATAATAAAGAATAATAAAAAGATAAAGTCTATAAGTCCAGTCCTTTAGGTACTAGTAAGGTACCCTTTAAAAATATCATAATAAAATAAGGTGTAATTAACTTTCCAAATGCAACATTTACGACAGACTTATTTACCATTAACATTAGAATACTGAATTACACTATTATGTCATTTAAAATATTGTCATCTTTATAACAGATGTTTTATGAGAAGGAAAATTGAATTGCAAATGAATGGTAAAACATAGTAACATACTTCTGTATTATTGGCTCTGAAAAAGTAATATTCATAACAGAGTAGCAAATAAGAACGTGATAAATACTTCATTGTGAACTTTAGTTTATCTGTAAACAATGTTTTCAAGTAAATACCCTTCGTATATAATATTTATTGAAGTATATAATATTATTTTAATCATATTTTACTACATGACAAGGCAACTGATAAGAGTGTATTATCAGGATAGGTAGACTGGATTTACCTAAACTTTTTGAGGAGTAATGACAGAGGTTTAATTATTATTCACAATAGTTTCATTGTATTCGGGAATTTCTAGTTCTGTTCAATGATAGGAATGTCGATCTTCTTTTTATTTTTTTTAAACTGTATGTATGTTTTACATAATACCAATATCATTTATTTAGAATACTGTTTTTACCGTATTATTAACAAATGTGGGTGCAAATTCTGGGTCTCGTTTTGATCGAGGAGACCCGGGCGTCCCATTAGCATCAACTGGTGTAGTGCCATTATTCGTCGATATAGAATTTTCCTGGTCGGCCTGCAAAAACATTATCGTATTATTTATCTTAAATTTATTTTATGCATTTATTCTATATTTATTACCTTACATATATAAACATATATTTTATGTCTAACTTTTATTCTTATACACGTTTTTGGGAACTAGGGTTCTCCAACTTCCCTGTCCTGTGACAGGTTGAAGCGTAGTTGGCCTACCTGGTAAAATCCGCTGCGAAATAACCTTGATGAAGACCGCTAGAAGATATGGCTTTTAAGCGACGATACTTTTATTAGATTTTATCAATTTTGCACACGTAATATATTGAAAAGTATCATCTCGTGCACTGGGACTGATTAATTCGTATTATAACTAATAACTATGGTTTTTGTCAACAGACCACGAAGAGTGAGTGAGTATTTCATTATGGTTTTGTAAATTGTCCGAAGGGTTAAGATGATATTGACTATGTTAATAATTCCGCCGAATGAGAGCTTATAGAACTGATATATAGTGATCCTATAGCACTACATCATTAGTGTAGTACAAAGACAACATAGCTATCCGCGCCAGTCTAACGTTTTCAGTTTATTTCTGAGCTACACAAAGATTTTTCACTATATAAATCATATCAATGTCACCTAAAAATCTTCATGCAAGCTACTTATGTATTATTGCAACATTGTAAGCATTATTGTACTAAAAATGAAGTCTATTCAGTGACTTGTTCTTTCGGTCTCGTTAATATTTCATAAAAGTTGTCTAAGGTGCCTATACATAAGGGATAGTTTTCATTCGTAAAGAATAATAGAATTAAAAAATATCTATTATTCTATGGGGAATCTAGGTATGAAGTCTAGGTAGATTCCCAATTTAATAATAATACTAAGTACTTACATTCATCGTACCTCATGATAACGTAAAACATATTGCATAAGTTGATAGCCTAGATGATTTTATAATGTACAGGGCAGAGTTTTACCAAAGTTATTGTCTGAATAAGAGCCAATTGTAATTTTCGCACACGATACAGGCAGAAATATGGCATGAAATTACACGGTATAACAAGACAAAGTAATGAAAAGTGGTCTTATTGCAGCAATCTTTTTCAGATCTATTGAGAAGAATAAATAACATATTGCGCGAGGGGATTGAGTGTAATAATTGTACCTACCTAGATAAAGATCAATGACAAAAAAGCTCAATAATTGCAATTATTAATTTCAGTGTATTTACAGAATATCAAAAAATTGTTCAGTTTGATATTTATTTGTTGATCCTATCGAGGTGATAAACTTAAAATTGAGAACAAAAATAAGTCCTAAACTTAAAGCTCAGAATAGAAACACAGCTGTTCTTTACTTAAATGATCTCAGGGTGTATTCCTGTTCTTATGTAAAAATATATTTAATTTATAATGGCGTTAAAAAAATGGAACGTATTAAAAATAAATAAAAATAAATAGTAAAAATAAATAAATAAAAAATCAATTAAAATACTCGGTACTATTTTCACTTTATCACTGTTTTCGAAATTAACAATTTGTCATTTTATATTCTCACCATTTTTGTCACAAACACACAAGTCCCATAAGTGACACGATCACTTCGAACACCAATATGTGAATTGTTTGTCTCGTGCCTATAGTGGTCACGCGATTGAGATTGTGAGCCGCGACGCACCAAGCTTTATATTAAATCCTATCAGTGAGCAAAACGTCTGTGCTGCTCGATGAATCTTTCACGTATCAAGCTTCGAGCTCACCTTCCAATTTGCTACTAAACAAATTTGAAAGTTTGTTTTACAACTCGCAATCCTTGATTTCAATTAAAAATAACATGATATGTTGGTGAAATAAGTATAGACATCTCTACATTTTTTCTATAAAATTCGTTAACGCTTTGTAAAGATACATTTTAAGTGTGTTTCAGTACGCATGAGTTTACATCCTAGAAGTGACTGGCACATGCATGTTTATACATAACACTGTATTTTTGTGTATTTGTGATGGTTTTGAAGAAAATGATTACTGAAAAGAAAATAGACATTGAAATCTAAAAGAAGTTTGTTTACGAAGTTTTATGAACGTATGAACCGTATTTATTCACGTTTTTTAATAGAGTTCTTTGTTTTATATTGTTAAAAAAATATATGTCGGTCGGTCAAAAACAATTTAAACACTACGTGAATTGTTTAGCTACTTGGTTCGAATTGATGATTCAATGTTATTAGAAGAAATTAATAAATATCCTTTGGGGGAAATTTTAATACGTTCCATTATTTTTCAGTATGAATTTGGTAATTTATCACAAACCAAATCAGTGTATAAATTACGAACTAAACCATATTATCAATCATTACTTCTTCACACGAAGGCGTGACATTGTGTAAACAAATGTGGTCGTGTGATATTACTAATTCGTGGGTATGACTAATTCCTTGTCTAAAGTAATTTGCGTAGCAGATTATAATTTTTTGAAAACTATTTGTGCATCCTTTGTAATTAATTAAATCTTGATAATAGTGAAACAGCTCCGATTCGTGACGTGATTCGGAGTTCACGAAATCGATATAGAAGTTGCAGTTAAACCATAGGTCATCCTCTGAACTCGTCAGACCTTTTGAGTGATTGATTAAATTTGATGAATTTTGAATTCACAATGCTAAACTAAAAATATTTTCAATGAAGAATACTTACAAAATCTCAGAGTGCCAGGAACAAAGAGGATTGAATAATTAGATCAAATTTTCATTTTGAATATTTGTAAAATTATTTCTCTCGGCTGTTTGGGTGGATTGCCGAATATTGATGAAAATACACTCTGCAGGAGCGAAAAAGTAGCAAGTGCTTGAAAAATTCGTCAGTCCTGTTACGCTCTGGGTAGCTCTACTAAGTAACACTGTTAGAGCAGTCGCCCGGATTGTAAAAGGTCATGGGTTCGATACCCATCTCAGAGTGCAAGAGACAAAGTGGAATTTTTAAGCATTTTTCATTAAGAATACACTTCCAGTTTTTTCGTGACTAGGAAATTTTTCTACGTGATCAGTTGTCTTACGCACCCAAAAATTTTTTAATATTTGAAAAAATGTAGTTACAAAGTTGGAAGTCATATAAGTTGGTCAGATATTGCAAAATCGCAACGCAAATTAAATGTGAACTGGTTACGTTCTAAGGTCGTATTTATCGAATTTACTGTGAAGGTCTCATGCTTCCATTTACATTTCCTAATTATTATTCATTAAAAATGAGGAGCTCGATGGCTAGCGCATTTGGTTAGCAATGCGGAAGTTAAGTAACTTTCGCAATAGTCGGACATAGGGTGGGTGACCAATCTCGAGCTCCTCCATATTTCAGATGGCACGCTAAACTGTTAGTTCGTATACGAAAATATTTTTTTAACGCTTTAAAAAAGAAAGGTTTTCAATTCAACAATTATATTTTATTTTGTGTTGGTTACGCGATTGCTCCGCCAATTAGGAATCGATTTTCAAAATTCTTTTTTATTCGATAGCTTAATGGGTCAAGTGCCATTAAAATTTTATAGAAATCGTATCTTAAAATAGTTTTCTTTTTATATAAGAAAACAAAATATGCTTTTCATAAAATATAATCAAAATATTTTTTATCTTATTGGTTTGATGCAAATGAGTCAATATAGGTGAAGTGACGTTAAACTATGCAGCCAATACCTAGGTAGTTTAACTCGGATCAGCTTCCACCATTTAGTTCGCATCGAAACTAGTTTTCAAAGATTCTCGGATTTTTGTAGTATCCTTCTTTCGCATCTAATCTGACTAAAAACCATTTGAAAATGGAAAATAGAAGGTTGCACAGTTTTCCTCAACCTCATAGGTGTAATGTGAAACAGTTTCACTCGAAAATGTCACATCATGAAAGTTTTATGTTAATTCAAATTACTAACTATTACTACGAAACAGCATTTTAACTGACTTCAAATTCCAAATGGATTATATGTTCGACGGCGATATATGTTTTTTTTCGTATGTTCAACGATATTACCGCCAATTGTTGACCAATTTCCATTTTTTTTTTCGACATCTTAATGGAAATTTTATCAAAATCGAATCCTTAGTTTTCCTTCTATAACAAAACATAATACGCTTTTCAACATATATCACCTAAATATTTAAATAATATGTAAAAGGTATTTTATGTATCTCAGCAAAAAACAAAAGATTGCATATTTTAATTCATTCAAAAACCAAAAGGAGGATTTTCTATGTTCAAGTACTATATATATTTTTTATGAAAGTAGATACGAGTATGTCAATCGATTTTCTTCTTAAATTGTGAACCAATTTCCATCAAACTAGCTGTGTTCCCGCGAATTCGCCTGCGTAAATTATAAACTATGTTCAACGGGCATTTAGTAGCTTCGTAGGTGAAAGATATAAATCGGTCCAGTGGTTTCGGATCCTATCCAATGCAAACAGACAAGCAAACAAAAAATATAGGAAAAAATTACGTCGAAACAAAATCTTATTTTCTAAGATTTTTACTATGTTGAATATTTTTATTTATATAGATAGTACTAATACTATAAAGAGGAAAGATTTGATTGGTTTGTTTGCAACGAATAGGTCCCGAAACTACTGGACCAAGTTTAAAAATTCTTTCACCTACGGGAAGCTACATCATATCCGGTAAGCATAGGCTATATTTTGTCCCAAAACCAGCAAATAAAGGGTGAAAATGGGAGTAGAACTTTATATTGACAATGAAAACGTTATCATAGTAACGATTGTTTGCTATTCAGCGCTACTGATATTAAATATAATTTTAAGATAATTAAAAAAGAACTGGATTTGACAAATTACAATCTAATATTGGAGAAATCTGAGAAATATTTTTTTTAGTAACTATATTTTTACGCCACTTGAAATCTTGAATAGTTTTGACAGTTAGCAATATCTACCTGTGTCGTTATTTAACTTGTGTCTTATAGAGCACATTATGTAAAAATATGAGACATTTTTTTTTGTTGTATGGGATTTTATTAATTTATTTTATTCAGTTTTAGTAATTGTTAATAGTGATCATAGTTATTAGTTATATAAACTGTGTAACTATCACGGTCATGCGATACAGCTTGGTGACAGACTGAACGGACAGCGTCGACTTAGTAAATAATCCCGTTTTTACCCTTTAGGTACGGAACCCTAAAAACTTGATATCTTAAAAATACTACAGAATTTTTAATCAATTTTTGAAAGTATTTTTAATATAATAAATATTATAGCAAATTTATAATAATAAACATTAAAAACTTAATAATCAAGTCGAGAATTATATATTGTATATAGCATAATAATAATCAGGCCCGTCTTAAGTACAACAGGCGCCCGGGTGCAATCAGTGCTCTGTTGCCCCCATTTTTTTACACATATTATGTATTATTATTATTTAATATTTTTATATTTAAAAAAATGGTAGTGCGACGGCGGCAGCAGTTTCAAAATGCGTTCCGCGATTGAAAAATATAAATATTATTAAAATAAAATTACAACGTAGGGCGTATTACCGATGAGTAAGTACTGCAAGATTAGACCATCATCGGCGCGGCGCCCACCAACGCGCCCGGGTGCAATGCACCCCCTGCACCATGGGCAAAGACGAGCCTGATAATAAGATATAAGAAATATATACTATTCTTATATATTTCTTTAAACTATACTTACTACTACTAACTACTTATATACTATTCTTATAAATTGTGAAAGTTATGATTTTAAGAAAAAAAAATCTATTTATTTTTTATACATTATATGTTAATAAATAATTAATAAACGCATTATTATTTGATACTCTATATATTAGAGAGACTATGTACAAATTGATTACTTGAATTAGCAACAAAGTTACTGATTTTAAGACGTTGCGGAAGGTTTTGGCTCATAGTGCAACGGCAAGAATTTTCCTATGTCTAACTGTTAATGTATTGAGGTATAAAATAAAATGGAGAATTTTGACAGTTTTGTATTAGCTGACATACTGTTGACTGTTCCGTATTTACTTTAAATTTAGATTGTATAAACTTTACAGAAAACTAAACCTTTCAAACGTCCGCATCGCAGACCGGACGCGCTAACCACTGCATCATCTAGCTCCTCAGCCTCAGTCAGTGTACGTACATTAATATCAAATAGTTTAGAAAAACAAAGGTCATGTAGACAAAACGTTCTCGAGTTCATTATTTTACAAATCTTCGTTTTAAATCACTTTCTATGATAAAAACATCATTAAAATACGTTTTTTTACTTTGAAAAGTTCAAATTTCAGCGTACAGACAGCGGGAAGCTACTTAGTTTTATACTGTGTATAGACGTACTTTCTTTAATATTATAAAGTCAATTATCGATTAAATTGATAAGAACCTATAATAACAAGGTAAGCAATGTAGATATTTTTATTGAGTGTTGAAATGAATCAATAAAGTCTATGACGACATATTCATAACATAGATAATTTGCATGGATTCTGTATTTAATAAGCGTCTTGATATTTTAGGGTCATCATAATATATTTCGTCTGTAGCTACCGTTATTTTTAACTATAATGGATTGAAATGATCTTCTCCTACCAAACGGTGTACCGATATCGCGCCTTTGGCATGTGTTGTGGGAAATTTTAAAAGATACTGGAGCTACGTGACAGTCTTTCTGACACGGAATCTACATCATAAGTTTATAATGACATGCCATAATGACCCCATTGCTGGGACATAGGCGTTCCCTATGTCAACATCGCAGACCGAATAGACTAATCACTGCCATCAAGAACATTTCATTTATTAAAAAATTCTAAGAACCTTCTCTTTTTAATTGACTTCATAAATGGAAGTTCTGTATTTTACTAAATATACATTCTAAAAAAAAGTTTTTGTTTAAAAGAGTATTATTGTCGAGAGGGTCTTAATAATATTTTTGGTATTCATATAGAAAACTGGAATAAAACTGTTTGACAATATAAAAAATTTTACAGATATTTTTGAGCATGAGAAATGAAAATTATTTTACTTCTCAAACTGCGTTTTACTTTAACGTTTCCAATGCTTTTCCTAGATATAATTTTCATTATTTATTTAAAACATCGACTACCAAAGCCATCAGCTTAACCCTTTATCAGCTTACTGACCATAAATCATCTAATTTAAAACAGTTCATACATTTTGTGTAAACAATTTAAAAAAGTAGTTATTCGCAGCCGTCCTAATATTATGGTAGCCATTATTTTAATTAAATACTTACCTTTTGCTGTATATTAGATTAAAGACGATATTAATTATGTATTACGTTCTACTTATCCAAGAACGACTTAATTAGATAATAGTCATAGTAAGTACTTGCTCATATCTAGGTATTTTGTATGGTGATAATTGTAACATTACAAATTCGCATTAATAAATAACCTAGATTGAAAATTAGTAATAGATCCTAAGGTAAATTATTAGGTCAGGTTGTATTCATTTATTTCATAAAACAACAATAGTCTAAATTTTTTCCTTTTCTCCCTTTTACGTTTGCTGTTCTTCTCCATTTTTTATGAAACTTATAAAAGTTTAACTTTTTTATTTTTATACGAATTCATGTCAGCGGTATTAAAAAAGTACATAAAAGAGTTTCTTGTGTTTTTTTTTTAATGGGCGTCGTTCTAGTGTTATGTTTAGGGCATCAAGTTTCAATGAACCGGCGCTGAATCAATGGTATATATTAAGATAAATAACTAAAACAATTATAATTAAACTTTCGTCCGACGATAACCAGTTTTGATTCCGGCATACTATAATACTAAAACGTGATTATTTAGTACAAACGCCGCTATCAAGCGGTCAGTTCATCAATTCATGTAATTATATTGAAATTAACTAAAACACCGCTTGATAGCAGTAATCAAGAGATAAGGTTTTAAGCAGAGATCCGAAACAATGATAAATCATTCCACCTGAAGTAGTTGAATAGATAAACAAAATTCCATTAATGCAATAATTAATAGACCTACATTTAAACATGTTTGAATATTTATGTATATACCGAAAAGAAACCACTGGGATTTTTATAAATCAAAATTTTATTTTATGTCACAATGGTTTGAAATATTATATTAAATAAATAACGTTTTATCTGAAATAAGAAACCCCTATATCTTAGAGTTTTAAGAAAACGATTCTAATCGCATTAGATCATCTCTACTTTGTACAAATATTATGTGTACATGGCTAAAGTAATATAATATTATTTCAATATACCTCTACAAAACAAACACAGTAACTTGTCAGAGATCATAAGTTAATTCACAACGACCGTATATTTGTTTTTACATAACAGTATTATGGAGACAATGATAATTCGCAGCAACACTACTTGCATGTTAAAATCTTCATGCAATTTCCAATGCCGTGATGCTTATAAACAAACACCTTGTAATAATCTTATTCAGTAATACTTGTAGTGTAGTGCTATGAAAAATATTATAATATAACGTTGCATTATAAGTTGTTTGGGCGAACTATTAGCTCTTTTTAATGTATTCGGCGGAGAGAGCGGCGTTGTCACACTTTGCAGGAGTAAAGTGTCCATGGCTGCGAATCCCTCGTGGACAACACGCTGTAAAACATAAAATCAATAAAATTTAATACCTTCAGTGTGGTCATCAATAGAATGCGCTTCTGTGTCAAGACGACTGTCTTGAATTCGCCAACCTAACTTTGAAATTGTGTATTTTTTTCTCGGTTTTTACTATTAATAAACAATAAAATCTACGTTGTTTTTACGTTGTATGAACTGATATTACATATAATAATTTTGTTTTAATTTTAATCCTAAATTACTGAGAAACAATATTTTAAGAATCTATAATTCACTGCTACACAGTGGAACAGATCTATGTTACTTAAGGTTAAATAGATTTAGACTCTATGAGATTTTCTTAATGAAAAATTCTTAAATATCAACTTTGTAATACGCTCTGTAATAGCGAAAAAGTAACAAGTGATTGAAAAATTCGTCAGTCCTGCTAGGCGCTGGGTACCTCAGTGGTTAGAGCAGTCGCCCGGATTGTGAAAGGTTAGAATCCTTTCTCAGAGTACCAAGGACATAGTGGATTTTTTTAAGCATTTTTTATCAAGAATATTTCATCAAATATAATAATTAAATTGAGATGTATTTTATAAATAATTAGACAAATAGATCTTTCGGGAAGGTCTATGCCCAGCAGTGGGCGTCGCTCAGCTGAAACGATGATGATGATGATGAGACAAAAATGTTTTGAAAAGGGTAATGATAGTATTGTTGCTATCAATCGATGGTAATTACTATCTCATCACTAGCTTATTAATGCCCACACTGCTGGGACTCAGGCCATCGCCAAGGATGGAATCGAATAGGTTGAAGCTCGATGGCGCAGTGGCTAGCGCGATTGGTTTGCGAAACGGATATTAAACAACCTTCGCAATGGCCGGTCATAGGATGGGTAACCAAAAATTTTATATCTTGAAATCCTCCGTGCCTCGGAACGTACGTTAAGCCGTTTGATCCCGACTACATCTGCAGTCGTCAATACCTACCAAATTCGGACTGGGTCCACGTGATATATTGGGTCATCATGGTCACCCTATTCGTAATGACTGTCTAACGATGATACTTATATCCAGTGAATGACACTCAACAGTATCCATGTCACGGACTCACCCTAATAATATATTTTGTAGTATAACATAGGTAGATTCCCAAATACCTCAGTGATGAGTTTCGTGTTGTAAGAGTCGGTAGTCCGGAACATCATTATTGTGTAGGTGTGGTCTATCCCTAAATGACCATCCACCCAATCTTCAATACCGCCTGCATACAAAGCTGTAAAAAATAGTGATAAGTGTCGGGTGCGTCCATACATCTCACTCTCGACCCGAGAAAAGTCACGTTTGGGGTACAGAAAGCGTTTCTCGAGTTTGTCATGCTACGCGTTCATGGCCATGCGAAGTTGCTGGTGGATGTATTACGTAATAAGTCTTCAAACATTTTATAGACAAATAAGATTTGAAGATCTCGGCAGATGAAGAGTACCGAGTGCCACAAGACACAGTTCTTTACTACTGCTACTAATGTTTTTTTGGTTGTGTAATAGTAAAATAGGAAAAAGGAAATGGTTTAATTCACCGATTTATAAAATATATCACCTCAGAAAAAATTTAATGAGTTTTATATAAATTCCATTAAAAATAGGGAGAAGTTATTTAAGCTAGGCAACTGCTTATGCTGCTCCTATTTAGGTGGCGTCATGGTATAATCTGTTTTGCTCTTATTATTTGAACCCATGCAGTACCTTAATAAAGACTTTTTGGTTCTTTGGACACGAATCATGGCCACAGTGCGCAAATGTACAAAATTCTGAGATTACCTATACAATAGCACCTAAGGAGTTTCTTTTATCATTGACAAAGTTACACTCTTCAATCGTTGTACCTACAATAGCGTTTTATTTTGTTGTAGTTTTTATGAACTTCATTTCAGTGTTTTGCCTAGGGCGCCAAGATTCATTGAGCCGGGACTGTATAAGCACTTAGCCGTTTTAAGGTACCTACTGTAAATCTGTTACCTTCTTGCAATGACTAATCTAATAAATATGTAATTCCCAAAAAATATCGACGAAAAATGTATATAACAATCTCTTATCACCAAAATAACACAAGAACAATAACCGCAAACACTTTTATCAATTTCTAAGAAACGAAAATGTTTTTACAAAATGAAGATATAGTTTATCTCGTTCAGTTAAAGTTTGCTGACAGCAAATACGTTAACTAATTTCGCAGTCAGACAAAGTATTATAAAACAAATAGTGAGACATGGTTATCTGTCCGTACCCTTTGACTAACACTTCATAGGGTATTGAGCGTCGTATTGAATCGGCTGCTATACGAATTCGTACAAATTCATACAAATTTCTAGTATCCCTTGGTCACGCCATCACAAGTGAACGGTTGGACCTATTTCGCTAATTCTTATTTTGTTGTGTTTGCTATTGTCAAGAGAAGGTTCTTATTAAGAAGAAAATTGTGTGGAGAATTTGAAAATTTAAGAATATTTACGCACCATATAAAATTATCTTTAATTCAATCTCAGTGCTTTGGTATTATCCTTGTAACTTTTAATGTAACCTTATTTCGCATGATTTGATTTTTTTGTGATTGTGAAGCTTAGCGTAAGTATTTTTTCGTTAAACAAAATTTATCGATTCATGCTGAATCAATATATATTTTTCAAGTTTAATGATAAAGAAAAATAAAGAATACTTTATTTTCATTCTATTTACTTTTTTTCTGTACCTACCTATAATAACAAATGTACTTTAATTTGAAAAAAAGGTCGCAACCGAATATAGAACTGACAGAATGCGTGATGCAAATATCGTGACTGTTCTAATGCAATATTCATGATTAAAACGACACAACGTCTGTCGGGTCAGCTAGTACTTAATAACAGTAGTACGAAAGGTTTGATATTGCGATTTTGCTAAAAAAACTAAAGATCTGATTGAGTGTTCTATTTGGTCAAGCATTAAATCGTCGCACGACCATTTAGGGGCCGTCCATTAATCACGTGAGGCTCGAAAGGGGGAGGAGGGATACGTCAAAAATCACTAAAAATTTTACAAGGGGGTGGGAGTGTAATAATATATCACGTGTATTTATTTTTCCTCAACGCGCGATTATTAAACCGAAAAGCGACGTCAAAAATTAAGATATTTGTATTTTTTTAAATACACGTGATTTGATTGAAAGAGGGAAGTGGTAGTCTTAAACCTCACCATCACCAAGGGGGAGGGGGGGTCAAAAAATGTTGAAAAAACATAACGTGATTAATGGACGGCTCCTTATCGCATAATTTGCTCAGACCATCGCTAGTCAATTAAAAAGCTTCAATAGTGTTACTCACGCAAGAATTCTGAAGTTTGTCCCGCGACGTAGGGGCGGCCATTGATACTGTATGCAGCGGAGGCTGCCCGCGATGCACGTTGCCTCTAAATTTAGTACATGCTAATTCAATTAAAAACAAAATCGCACTCAGCATACGCTGTTTACAAGCACTTAACAAGATTATTAACAGTAAGGGAAAGTCGAAAAAGTTTTCAATACAATTCAAAAAACAGCACAGCAAATGAAATTATTGTTTTATACGCTTTTACAGCAAACAAAAGAGCTAAACGTATAAAAATATTTTACTTACGTAAATTTGATCAAATGTTCGTAATTTTCTTGTATGCGAGTAAGGGTACATTACTCCCTGATGAAAAAAATTAAATGATAATTATAATTACCCAATTGTAGTTTTTGTTATAATTTAATATCGACATGGTCTAGCTAATAAAAGCTTTTTGTCTAGATCTAAGAAAAACTAGATTAATGTTTAATTAAATATTGGCGAACACCACATACATTGCCCAGATTCCATGATGAGTAGTTAAACTCCTCGAGTTATAGAGTATCTAAGACAACGAAGGCACTACAACACGATTTTCCGAGACAATATAGAAAAGTTCAATTCCTACAATGAGCCGACAGGATTTTGAACCATAGACTTTAGAGATGGCGACACCTTGAACACGGCGTATGAACTATTCGGCTTCGGAGGTTGTTGGAAAGAATATTTGTATGTATTGTATACCTGACTCATATTTAAAAGCAAAAATTTTTAACAACAATGGTAACTAACGAGTACTTCGCCTTCCTTGAACGCAATGAAGGTGGCTAGAAGCATGCGTTTATTATGTAAATACTGCGTGAGCGCACGCGTTTCTTCCTCACTCAATTGACGCGCGCCTGCGTACAGTGATCCGCACGGATGTTCAGCACGTAAAGCCTCCGCTAAAAAAAATTAAAAAGTCACAAAATTGATATATAATATATCACCTTGCAAAATTGCGCATAATTATGTGACTTATAGAAAGCAGTCTTTTTCACATTTTCACCTATTTACACTAGTAAAGTACCCAGTAATTGTTAACTTACACTGAAGATATATACACGTATTAATAAAAAATACGTAAACATTACCGAATTTGCCTTACAGAAACTGTAACCTGAGACCGTCAAAATCTCGACTGCCCACACGATCCAGGTAGAAAACAAATTTGTTAGGGCTAGCACGAGTAGCATTAACGGGAACGAGAACGCAATTCCAGAACGTTTTGTCCAGAACTAAATGTCACTTTTCTCCTTTTGACCGGAGCGTTTCTCGAGTTTGACATGCTACACGTGCAGCAGCGGGAGTGGCTCACTTCTGCATCGCAAGGCCACGATTGACTGAGAGAGGTTCAGGTGTACCTCTGTCCGCGAGGAACACTGAGGATCCAGGTAGGCTAGCTGGTCACTCAATAACGGTTTCTCGGGTACAGGCATTTCATCGAGACCCACTTGATTGCAAGGTAATTCGCCGGGAGGGTTCATGGAGGAGAGTCCCGAATACTTGTCGCTTGTCATTCGACAGGCAGTGTTTAATACTCGTACATTAACGACAATGATGCATAGGAAAACAATTTAATTTAAAGAATGATTTTGTTGAATATTTTGCACTCATAAGGACCACCTAACACTATACCAAATCCGTACTGGTAATGAACAGAAAATTTATTTCATAACACCACTTACGTAACAACATAGCATAATTTAGATGCAACTGGCACATTTACTTTAGCAGTGACCTTAACCATGGCTAGGCACCGAGCGGCAGATCTTTACAAGGCCACTGTCTATTGCGTAAAATATGCAAATTGGAAACGCATAGACATTTCTGATGATTGAATTACGTTTGAAACTTGAAATATATATAAGTAATAAATTAGTTTTTATACTAATATGAATAAGTGCACTCAATATTTTGTAGCTTGGGTCATTGAAGCGCTTGCAATTTTAACCATTCTCTTAACTTATTTGAACGATGTCACTTACCGGGAATCCACTGATATTCAAAATTCCTATCAAGATTGACGCCATAACACGGTTGCACGGTGCATAGTAGACCATACTGCTCACAAGCAATACACGAATCACGGTTGGTACAAATCTCCCAGTTCTGACGTAAATTCTTCATCCATTCCCGACGCTAATTACAAAGAAATGCATTTTTACCCATTGTTAAATAAAGTAATAACTATTTGATATACCTAAAGTTTAGGTCCTAACTGATGGATCATTTCAGTGGCCGTTTGAGGCCCGTTTGAGGCCCGTGGCAAATTCATTGAATATTCTATTTTTTTTACTAATTGTGTAATAATAAATATCAGGAGTAAGGTGACCGGGTGCCCCTTCCAGCTGGGGGCCTGTCGCATTTTGCCAACTTGCCATCCTGTAGTTACGCCACTGAATCGTCTATATCTGTTTTATTTATCTTATATTCATATACCATTTTACTTCATAATATCTACGTATATATATGTATCTTGCATCCCTACGTCCGTGTGGTAATACATTAGGGCCTAGCTGAAAATCGGCGTCAGTCTGTTTCTGAAAAGTAAACATACCGACAAATGCCGAGCTAGATACCTGTTTGGTGCAGTCGTGGGACACAATTTTATTTTAATGTTAAATTTCCTATTGTTTGTGACTGACCGTTTAAATCTAATATTTATTATAATTAGTAGTCTTGTGATTAATTGAATTTGAATGTGACAGTTATATTATGAAATCAAAATAATAATAACAAACTATATTCTCGTCAGGTTTCGGCCATATTACTCACATGAGGAAATGTCATAGAATAATCGTAGCCATCAGGGTTGAATACTGGTATTATCCAAAAACGATATTTCGTTAACAAATCCGCATGCGTCTCAGTACGCTCTATAAGTTGATACAGAACATACATGGCTGCAGCGACAGCATGGTGATCACGACCTTGTATACCTTTAAATTTATTTAATCTAAATAATATTTTTAAAAATAAAATTTAAAAATTGTTTTTATTATTAAAAGGTATCACAATAAAATCATTACCGGCCACTACCATAACTGTTTGTTTTGCTGAAACTATCTGACCGCTGCTTGGGTCATCAACCGACATCAAATAAATAGGATTTTCCATAGCAGTGAGATTTCCCTCTGTTATATCTTCTAATTTTACTAGCGGACTTTTATCTGCCCATCGTTTTAACTGATATTGTATCTGGAAAAAAAAATCAAATATGGGATTGCAAGCGAATTATTATAATTAATTTGTAGTTCAACGATATCAATTCGTAATTGAAATCGATCGTAAATATTTAACTGGTACAGACAGGGAAAATAAAAATGTAATGTTCGGTTGTAGGTACTACTTACCTACCTACTTACAAGGTATTTTAGCTCTGCAGAATAGGAAGTTTGTTGTCTATTCAGTTGTATTGACTAGGAGTAAAAATTTATAAATCAATACACTTTTACATGAGGACTAAAACTTCTTATCTCAAACGCAAATATTACATTCAGTTTCTTTAACTAGTTTAAGAATAAAACAATTTTCTTATTCTGTTTTGTAGCCAAAACTAGTCGATATGAAATAGATTTATGATTTTAAATTGCATTTTTATATGCTTCCTTATTCATTTTATTTCTTACATATTTAGTATTATGATTATAAATTTATGGAACTGGACCGCGACGAAGATTGGTGGAATTTAATTAAGGAGTATGAATAAATGAAATCTTTTAACCTTTATTAATTTTTGAAGAAGGTTTATTTCGTTGAACGTGTATGCTATTACAAGGCTGTGTTCGATGCAAAATAAGGCTGTTATTATAGTCAAAGTCAAAAGTCAAGTCAAAATAATCTTTATTCAAATAGACTTCTTAAAAGTACTTTTGAATCGTCCAACATTTTTTCCCTACCACTCGTTCAGGACGTCTTTTGGCTGATAAGAAGAACGAGCAAGAAACTCACCAGCTCTAATATGAGTAATGACATTTACAAAAACCATGTCATTACCAGATCAACAATAACAGAATAACACTGGAGAGCAATTCATGTGATATCTCATATATATTTATTTACCTATCCATGCTTGGCGAAACGCGGCATATCAATGCAGTCAACACTTGTGAACTTTTGGAATTCTGTGAGTAATTATACCTACATTATAATTAAGTCGCCTTATAAAAAAATATCGTACATATTTATCCTTTTATTGCAGGATAGATAACTCTACAGTAATGACGTAGTAATTATCTTATCAGCAGTACTGGGCCCATTGTTCTTAGCTATGATTACTTAAATTTATTCCCCTTCAAACGTAGATATATAATTAATTTGTCTCTTTGTGTATCAGCTACGCGAGAAATCCCAAATCATTCTCGCATTTGCTCGTTTCCGGTGCGAAATCCTTAGTGCGCGAGTCCGATATGCACTTGACTGGTAATTTAAAATACGGAATCCTAAATGATAACCTCGAGAGTAGCTCGGTGGCGTAGTGGATAAGCGCCGCGGCCCGCGGTCGTTGTCGTTAAGCAACTTTCGCAAGGGTCGGTCACGGGATGGGTGACCAAAAAATTATTATCTCGAGCTACTCCGTGCTTCGGAAGGCACGTCAAGCCGTTGGTCCCGGCTGCATTGGCAGTCGTCAATACCCTCCAATCCGCATTGGGCCAGCGTGGAGGGTCATGGCCCATACTCCTTAGCCATCCATAAGGAAGGCCTGAGCCCCTGCAGTGGGGACGTAAAAGGGCTGATGATGATGAAATGATAACCAGCAATATACGAAGTAAATTCATAATGCTATAATTAAACACATGACCTTTCGCAATCCGGACGACTGCTCTAACCACTGAGCTACTCAGGACCTAACTGAATAAGAACTGATGAATTTTTCAAGCAGTTGTTACTAATTCTATTTGATCAAGAGCAGTCTAGTATGGGTTTGATTCCTATCCTATCCTCAGAGTGCCAGGGACATAATGGATTTTTTAGTATTTTTCAGTATAGCATTGTGAATGCAAAATTGATCAAAAATAATAATTCATAATGTTCGTTTGAACTTCAGTACACAAATGCCAGTCGCTTATTTTTAATCGATAAATTCTTTTAGCCGATTGTGTTTAACGGTTTCCTTCCCTTTATTACATATATATTTCTCTCTATTTAATATTATTTCTTGGATACATTTAATATTAAATACATGAGTAACTCAGTGTAAGCAACTTTCGCAATGGTCGGTCACAGGATGGGTGACAAAAAAAATTATGTCCAGCTACTCCGGGCTTCGGAAGGCACGTTTAACTATTGGTCCAGGCTTCATTTGCAATCGTTAAAACCCTCTAATCCGCAGCGGGCCAGCATGGATGGTCATGGCCCATCCATAAAAAAGGCCTGAGCTCCTGCAGTAGAGACCTAAAGCGGCTGATGATGATGAAAATATTATTCCCCAAATTTAAAACATTACGTTGATTGATTTGCATGTCGGTTTCATAATTTCGCCACCTCTATGACCCCAGGATCTATTTATCAGCATAAATACGTAAGAAAATCAATTATTCTATAATGCCTCGGGTACGAATGTTAAAGCCTAACCTTATTTCGAATTCCATACAATTAAATAATGCTTTTTGAGATCTGAGCAAAGTATGTTAATGGTGTAAATTGATATTGAATTATAACAGTTATAGGAAATATATGGCTATCTTACCTCAGCAAGAGTATGTGGAGAATTGAAATTCAAATTCCTGAGTTTAATTAGACTACAAATACGTTTAGACACATTTGTACTTTTTCCTTTGCTCGATGGCGTTGTTAATTCAGCATTTACTCCAAAAAAAATATTATTAGATTCATTTTGGTTAAGATTCGAATTTTCTTCATTAGCATATTCCGATTCAGTACTGGTTTCAATTGTGGGCTTTTTATCATAATCATCTAAATCACTTTCAGTTGTTAAAACTGATTCTTTGTTTATATTAGATCTCTCATCATAATGTAGAGCATGTTTTTTATTACTATCATTGTCTTCGTCTCCATAAAACATACTATACATAATGTCTGAATCTTTATCGTTTTTTTCGAAAACACCACTTTTCCGCATTATTAACTCTTGTTTTTTTCTGTTTTCTTCTTCATACAATCGACTAATCAGACTTTTTCTATATTCTTTTTCATAATCCCGGTTTTCTTCATCAAGCTTTTTATTTTCTTCCTCATACTTTCTATTTTCTTCTTCTGAAGTTTTATTGTCCTCGTCATCTTTACCACTTTCATACGCGTGTGACGGCATTGGAAATTCTTCATTTACATCCATTTTGATAGTAGACGTTCTAATAGGATCATTATGTAAAGACGTCTTAGTAACTGATACTTCTGAGAAATCGTCAGCAATCAAATTTTGAAGATCAACAATATTATCAAATGTCTGTCTTGTCCTCTGCGGCCATACAATGTCAGGTAACGGCGACGTCCGCGTTGGACGAGAAAATTTTGTTGAAACGTCTAAGGTTCTTTGAGGTATCTGGCAAAACAAAGAAGTATATTTGAACTGCTGAATAAATGTAAAAAAAGGAACTTGGTTAATTACTCACATACGAGGTTGAGGGTTTCCTTTCTGCGTAATCAGTAGGTCTCCTTGTAAAAGCTACGGCTTCTATAGGAGCATATTGTCTCGCATAAAGGGGAACAGTTCGTGGCAAGAATTGTGGACTAGCTGGAGGGCTCTCGTCACGTTGAGAATGACGACCACCAACATATTGCACTTGAATATTAATTAAAATATATATACTTATAATAACACAGCTTCTAAGAATTATTCATTTCCACCAAATATTTCTTACCATTTGGTTTTATAGGAGAAATGACATCAAGAGATGGCGTTTGAGGGGCAAGATATAAATCCACGCCAACTCGTGACACAGGAATTGTCGTAGGAGGCACAAAACGCGTATAATTCCTATATCCTTCTGGTATTATCTGGGTAGTTGTTACTGACGGTACGATTACTCCACCCACTATAATTTTTTCCGCTCCTCTTGTCACTGGCTGAATATTGACTGCCACTATAGGTCTTGTATTGGGAGTCGTTAAGTCTTCTTCATCTAAAACTTTAACTAAAAATTCTGGTGTTGTTTCTAAACTTGCTCTCCATCTAGTATATTCGGTATGAGCTCTTTTTCTGCGAAACACTAAAAAGGTAGAAATAGTAGATAAATTGAAAATATTTCACATCAGCATAACCTGCTATGGAAGCAGCATGGAACATAACAGAATGTGATCGTAGCACTTACAGCTAACAGGGCAAACGGGATAAGAATCATTGTAAGTTATATTAGCTAAGGTTAAATCCCAGCCGTTAACTAATTCTGTAAAACCTAATATTATCAAAATTAAACAAGTTTGCATCATAATAAAAATTAAATAATTTGACAAAGCATGATGTACGTTGTCATTGATAGTGATTTTTTAATTTATCTCCTTCTGTACGTCGCTGGCCACTATTCTGACATTATTTTTAAAGAGTTTAAAACACAATTTTCTGTCTTACAGAAATACCTACTTGCAGATTTTTATGGTTAATGAGTGGACAATAACTTAATATTACACTTTTTTAATATTCATTCCTACATTATTTTTATTATTACTTTATATTATTACTATTACTATTATTCTCGTATCCATAATTTACTCTTCCCGACCCCTCGACGTTATTATTATTATTATATTATTATTATTACTATTATTACTTAAATAACTTTATTTCTCCTCACAAATTCACATACTAAACTATGGGTACATACATTTTTTCTAATGAAAATTAATGAATTTCATGCATTTTGTTGTGCGATTGTAAATTCGGCTGGGGGAGGATTCCGTATCTCAAATGAAATAACCGATCCCTTATAGGATCATCTGCTTGTCTGTCTGACTGTCAAGACCCTATATAATGGGGGAGGCGATATAAAGTTGATATTATAACCCTATTCTCAGGTCTCCAGTTCCGGTCAGAAAAATTGTCCCGGGTCGAAATTTAAAATTGAATTTACAACTCGCATGAATTAACACAAATAAGGGTCTATTCTATTTGTCTTCGAATGAAACTTCGTTAAATTTCGAGTCGTACTTACAATTACTAAAATCATATTGGTGAAGATTATATCTTCAATTCAAAACAAAATATGTAACTGTTTTATTTATTTTTCATGATACTTAAATTATTTTTTAATAACAAAGCATATAAAAAACTGAACTTACTAGCTGTTTTCCCGCAACTTCGCATGTGTAAATTATAACCTATGTCAACTTCAGGCAAGATTTATTCTTGTCAGGCAAAAAGGCGTTTTCAGGCTGTGGTGTCGATGATCTCAGATGGGTGTCAGTGGGTGTCAGGCATAAGTTTCAAGCAAGAAGTATATATATATATATAAGTCATAAAAATACTTAATTGAATTTAAACACCACTTGATATACTTTTACTCTTTGCACTACTTTTTATTTAGCATCAAGGAAAATTAAGCGCTGCATTTTTTATTGAACAACCACCAGTATGTTATTACAAATAAAAGTTTATTTCATTGCGATTCTGTATTTCTTCGGAGCCCTGTTTATTTTATTTTTCCCCCCAAGAAATTATCAACTGTAAGTACCTTCTATTGTCAGAGATGATATCAAATAGAAAATACCAGATTGTTGAATTATTGCCATTAGTTTTTTTTTAGATCTGGAGCTAAAGTGAGAACTGTGAGGTCCCTTGGTGCGAGTTTAAAGTTTTCGGAGTACGTGACTCATACAAAACTAATGGATGAAGTAAAACGCTTGATTCACGCTGACCGACATATTGCTAGAGCTGTTGGTCTCAAGCCACTGACGATGGAAAATAGAACGATAGTAGCTTTAGAGCTGCGAAGCGACGAGCAGTCAAGAAAACCTGGGATCCTCGTAGTTGGTGGTACTTAACTGATAATTTAATGTTTATTAGAAGAACTTATTCGATCTTAATCATAAGGACAGATTTGAGTACTTATAATATCCATAGTATTAACATAAGTTTGTCTAAAAAAATATATAAGACATAGACATCCTTAGACGCTTTAATCGGTAAATGTTGGCTGTCTTACTCCAGCCAATCCAGCTCTACCTAGAAGCGCAGCTTTTTGGGGTCTACACAAGCTTTGTAGAGTGTTGATATATTGAATTGCCTAGTATGTGTCCCCGGCTGGCAGGTTCTCGTCTTCTATGGGTGCGACCGCCTAAATCTCTAGCCAAATCTATAGCCATTTGGCTTATTCCGTTTATCCCCCCTAAAAGAGCCACCCTAAAGTGGATACTCGGAAACGCGTGTTTATCTAACCACCCTGAACGGGAACGGAAAATCACACTCTTTAATCGGTGTACCAACAATTTGTTAATCTTTAGTTTTTTTATGATTTTTTATGGGCGTCATTCTAGTGTTTTGCCTATGGCGCCAACTTTAATTGAGCCAGCGTTGACTTAGCAACACACTTAGCGATTTTTATTAGGTATATTAATAAATACACATTCGATACTTCACTATGCTTGTTCAAAATAATAATCCAATACCGGTGCATATTGACATTTGTTACATTCCAATAATAATTGATCGTTAATTAGTGTCATATCTGTTAAATAGAGGAGATTAGCTACCTATTAGACTATACATTAAGTTGCTATCGCGACAATCCTCTTTGGCGGCAGCTAAAGCCGCTTGAGCCGATTTTTGACAATGTTTGATAAATTTCCGCAATATTATAATATTTATTTCATATTAAACCAATGTTTTATCGACAATCTCTTTACTGGAGAGATTAAAAACTAAGCATATTTATAATTACCTACAAGTTGTTTTAAGAATATTTCAATTGAAGAGTTGATTAAAACATTTCACCGTCTCAAAGTAGGGTTTTCAATTAAAATATTGGCATGTGTGAGTTGTTGATTCATTAAACACAAATTTTTCAAAGATAAATTAATAAGTGAGTCAAGCATTAATATTATCCTGATTCCTAAGTTACATTCGACAAGGTACCTTTACGTAAGTAGGCGAAATGCCAACCCGCTAAGAGGTATTTTTTTTAAATAATATTTCAAAAACGTGATCTTTTTACACTAAACTAGACCAAACGCGGAGAGGTTTCGGTAAAAAAGAAATAAAACTGTAGACTTTCTATATAAACTTTTGAATAAATAAATTATTTAGTAAATTTTCTTATTTTTTCTTAAATATACTTTAAAATAACTTATCTTAAATCTTCAACATACTGGAATATAAAGCTTTAGAAAAATCTTGTAGGTATATTTTTGTCACAAACCCTCCATCACCGATTAAATTTTTAATCGTATAGGGAAATTTTAGTAAAAAATGTAAATATTTTATTAAGCATGTTACATCTTTAAAAAAATGTGTTAAATTTCAGTTCAAATCGACAATTTCATACATATAAGCAATACCCTAATATTAATGAAAATAAAAAAAGCTACTTTCAAATAAATAGATTTAAATAAGCTTATTACAAGCCCTTTTGAAACGTTCAATTTTTATTCCCTACCACTCGCTATGGACGGCTTTTGGCTGACAAGAAGAAGAAGCGAAAGAAACCACCTGCTCTTTATAAGAAGTAACGACATTTACATCGATCATGTAATTATCAAATTACATTAATACGTATTATTACAATAATAATACAAACATTTATCAATGTCTGTACGATATAGTACGATGGCTATTAAAATAATCATCAACTTTGTAATAGCCTTTACTCATAAGTATGTTTTATTACATGATTTTTAAATTTATAAATTGAACATAGCAATGCATTTACCAAGAAATTGTCCTCTCGTTTTTAAAGACTAAAGCTTGGGCGGCAAACTTATTTTTATTTCTTGTGTTAAAACTATGGACACTAGTTTTGTATGACTTATGATTATGTATCTGTGGTTGCCTCCGCGCTAAGCGGGGAGTCTTTGGCAACCCGGACGTCTATCCGGACGAGAGCAGTCGCCCGGATTGCGAAAGTTCATGGGTTCAAGTCCCATAGTGCCAGGGACAAAGTGGATTTTTAAAGCATTTTTCATTAAGAATATTTGTAGATATTTTCACTAATGATACAACTTTTTTGTAAACCAATCACAATGAGCTTACATAATATATTCATAGATTTATTGAAAGGCAACAGTCAAAATAATAATTTCTTTAAATAGTAAGATTATTTTTTAGTTATTTATTTATAATTACAAAATACTTTCATTAATACCTTTACAGTTACAAGAGTATTAGGATCAGTAATTAACATGGGCTACCTATACATGTTTATTTTGCAAAAAAAAAGGAATAGTCTTATTATCTTGCATTTGCAGCTCATAATTTGACAAATAATAAAAAAAAATTAGATATGATTTTTTTTGTACTTTAATTTTACAAGAAATAAGTTAGGTAACAGGCAGTAAAAGATAAAGAGTTGAGAAGTGGAAGCTCGCTACGTCACAGTTTTGTAGACAATATACCAACGCGTGACGTCAGTGACATTTTAACTCAATGAAGGTATCGTCGTAATTTAATGATTAAGATTACGAATAAAAAAATATAATATTTTTCAACAATCTACCTGCCGGATAAACAAAAAAAACTGTTGGCATCCCTATTTTGTTATAATCTCATCCGTCTAGAATATCTGTGCATCACAGGCAGTGTCAGGCCCTACCTCCGTTGCATTATACTTTATCGAAAAATGCGTTTCTGCGGAGCATTTCGATAAATAATCCACGGAATATTGTTTTCGGATAATTAGATTAGACCAGCAGAGTGACCACTTAGCTCCTCTAGCTTTAACTCCAGCTATAGGATTATTACGTTTCATTATACTACTTTGACGTGTATTTTAATAACGAAGAGTAAAAGATAAGGAATGATGAACATGGAACGACCGCAGTGTTATCAACTTCGTAATTTATCTCAAATTTATACACCAAAAGTTCTTATTGCTTTATTGCTTAAAAAAACTGGACTCGAACCCATTACATTTCGCAATCCGGGCGACTGCTCTAACCACTGAGCTACTCAGTACCTAACAGGACTGACGAATTTTTTAAACACTTGTTACTTCTTCGCTGCCAATTTACTACAGAGTTTTTTAATAAAACGAAATATCGTCATATTATTCGCTAAGATATCGTATCCTAAGTACCTCCTACTCGGTATCTCAATAAAATGAATAAATATTTAAATCATTAATTATTTTCTTACGTTTTGTACATTTAGGTATTTGATACCAATGGGCAATCCTGATGGGATACATTTCACCCAAAACTTGCGACAGTACCCATCGCTAGATCCGTTAATGTGGTCTCGAAATGTGACCGCAAGGAACCACACTCGACCTACCCACTGGTACAAGAACGTCGACAAGGAAGAGGGAAGCGAACCATGCTTTGGTACAAATATAAATCGAAATTTCGCTTATCACTGGCAAGGTATTTCTGAACTCTTATTTCGTAGTAAAATTTAAGCGTGCGCACATGATTAGTTGCAGAAAAACGGCATGAAATCAGTCTTATAGTGACATGTCGGTTATTATGACCCATTTTTAATAAATTATTTCCGGTTTTAATGACCGACATGACTTTACGCTTCCGATAATGTTCGGTGATTCCCGGCGTCGTTCGGCACGTGGCTAACTTGAAAGAGATGGAGAAGAGGAAGTCGAGGAAGAACCATTACTTACCGCAGAAGAGGCATTAAAGGCTGCAGAATTATTATCACGATTTGTTCATAGCAATATTGAAACTGATAATTTCACCATGGCGATGTCTTCTTCAGACAAGACTATCAGAGACTAATTTCAATAAAATAAAAAAACAATAGTAGGCTAAAATTACAGATTTCTTAATTAAAAAATGAAAAATACATATATAACATACTTAAATGTATGGTTTATATTTTTTAACTTGTATTTTTATGCTCTATTAAAAATATTAAAATACATACATAATTACATTTTTAAAAATTGACACCAAACCCTTTGTATGACGTCCGCTTATAATGACGTGTTTGTCAATTCCCTTCGATGTCTTTATAAACGGATTCCAGAATATAACACTCATCGACAACTTATTAGTGGACTGTAGAATTATAAAATTAAAAAGATAAATTAGCCAAGAAAAACATAGATAAAAAACACTTTGATGAATACAACACACAAGAAGGCCAACAGCATAACAGTGATAAGAACAAACTTCTTTCAAATTCGGACGAGGACTTGCTGGCCATTATTTATTTAAACAGACCGAATAATGTTTTTAATTTTGTTTACCGCCTTTGTAGTTAATATTTAGGAATATTATTTTCGCCATTTTATTATATTTAAGTTTTAAAAAAGATATAGGTACGCATTATTATTTTACTATTTTTAGTGACAACGATTTTGTTTACTTCGATGACATACCAACTCATATTTCTTACAGTTGTTTCGATATCACAAAAATTGCAGAACCGATTTTATTTATTGCGGATTTATCACAGCAAGTATGGTTGAGATAAAAATTTGTTAATTAAAAAGGTAGAACGATTAAATGGGCGGGGTCGTGCGACCATCCATATGCCCGAACGGTCATATGAACGTCACGTTATTCAAATTTCCAGTTTAGTATTTACACAATGTCATAGTGGTCTATGGTGCGTCGCAAAATACAAAATATGCCGAATTGTGCCGTTATTACGTGTTGTTTGCGTAGTGAAAATGTAAGTCTGAGAAAAGGAGAAATTTCATTTCATCGGTGAGTAAAAAATATTGGTTATATAACAGTATATCGAGATATAATCACAATTTCTTTTTCGGGAGATTGTGTCAGTTATTAACATAGTGCTTGCAGATATCGATAAAACGTTATCGATAGTACGTAACCCTAATATTTTGAATGGCAATCAATTTACATGCAATTATAACATTAAAGCAAACTTTTATTAAGATAAATAGTTAACAGTAATTTTTAAAAGATTTGTATGTTTCCGTTTTCCTAGAAACCCCGACATAAAAGAAAAGTGGATTGACGCAAGTGGTAGAAATGGTCAATGGTTTCCTTTTAAAACTAAGTTGCATTTGTTTAACACATTTTTCTGAAAATGATTATATTAATATTAAATGATGAATAAAATAATGTGATAAATTACTTTCATATTTGGGATGAAATATTATGTATTACATCTAATTTTCTGATTATATTGTCAAATTAAACTTTATATTGGGATATTATTGAAATATAGTTTCAATGAGACTTCTTAGTCATTATTTTCCATTCTTAATATATTGTGCTTCATATAATACAAAGTTAGTAAAAATAATAATTATGATTAAATATACAAAAAAAATATAACTAGGTATCAAAAAATAAAACTATGCTTTTTAATAGAAAAAAAAGCTAATTTAAATTATAAAAATCTAGCCCGCAAAGTGCCAAATTGTCATCACTGTCATTTGCCCTTGATATGTGTACTCCATTCTACTAACCTACTTCTGATTAAAACTGACAAAAATCGCAGTTACATTACTACTTTAGCAAGATAGGAATTGGTCTAATTGATCGAGCCGTTTCAAGTGAAGATTGATTACATACATTGTGAAGTGATCACATACATATGGTATTTATTTTCATTGGATTTTTTTTGTGGCAGTTGCGAAATGACAAATTAATAAATTATTTTATTATATTAACCCAATATATTAATGATTTTCTGATTATCGATATCAAATTGTGAATCACAGGGCACTTCACTATTTCAGTGTTGACAGAAGCGTAAAATTCTTTGCATTATATTTTGAAAAATTGTTTTAATGCAGATACGTCGTGAAATAACATTTTTATGTAATAAAACATGTATTTAAAATGTTTGCACATTAACTTATTTAATATCCGCGCACAAAATAAATTATTTAGAACTAACAAAAGTAATTGTGCAGATTTTTATTATAGCTAGCCATACATTTTGTGTATTACTGTAAAATCACCTGTATTAATAGGCTAGTATATACTAATTTTGCTGAAACTTTTGTAGCCAATGGTAGCATCGCTCTCTTTGTGAGCTGAATAGGTGAAGTTTTACGTCTGTGTGATATCTGGCACGCGCGGTCCTAGTCCTAATGTTAGTACGTTATCATTCTAACCTTTTTATCTTAAGAACCTCTTTTTTGTTTTGAAGTCGGTTAAAAATATTTTAATGTTAATAACGTTAATATTAATGTTAATATTTTAATGTTAAAATTATAAAATTTATTATTAATACCGGCACCGTGTGTTTATACATCTTTTTCAAAACAAAATGTTTATAATACCACTAAACAAACAAATGATTTAATCATACGCCATTTTTATAGCTCTTCATTTTTTGTTCTACCTACTTATAGCGTCTTATGCTAATTACTGACTGAATTTACCCGAATGAGACAACACAAAATATTATGTTTATTTAGAAATCAATCTTCGATACGCTCTTAAAAAACGCAATTGAACTATAAATATGTTCTATAGTCATAACTTTTAATTTGCCTCTTTTATGTCAGATGACAATCATAAAACACCAGAACGTTGCTCGCAATTATATCCAGGAGCTAAACCGTTTTCTACTAAGGAAGCGCAGGCAATACGGAAATATGTGGACCGACTAACAGGCGTTGTTCACCTGGCAATACATCTACATGCAAGTTTTGTTCCTAAAAAGGTAATGGAGCTAAAGGCCAAGGAAATGATTTCACAAATAAAAGTTGTATTTGCATGTTCATAACTAATAGAAAGCTCTATTAGTTATGAATTGTTTTATTCTAATATCAGAATCCGATCCCCCACTGGGCACAACGGGCACGTGCCAGGGCCCCGAGACCGATTGGAGCCTACTAGTCCCTACTTTTCACCAAACAACAGATAACATATGTCCTTATGATAATTACATTAATAGATACTCGATACTTGCCTGAACGAATGTGATATGCTTGAAAACACAGATTTTAAAGATGTAAATAATAATGATTTTAAAATCTAGAGCGATACCTCTTCTATCAGCATCGATGGTACTATTGTGGATTACATTATTATATATTCATCCTAATATCCAGTGTTACTGAGAAGAAAAAAAATTGCATATGTAGGTACGTTATTTGTATATTCTAACGAACAAGTGCACTTTTCTAGACATAGGGACCCCATTATCTTAAAGTGCTCAGGGCCTCTAATAGGTGAAATACGAGCCTAAAAGCCCTAATAAGGTCTGTCGTTAATTCTTGTAAATGTTCTGTTTAGGAGTACATACTATACCCATGGAGATTTTCGAAACGCGTTTCCAGTAATTATCGCACGCTACAAGATATTGGTGAATACGCTGCCAGGCAAGCGCGGCTACCGGACGGGCGTCTTTACGAGGTTTATTACCATTTATACCTATCTTTCAGATTCAGAGTAGATGAATACTGAGCGCCATAGGGAATGTTCTTTTCTTTACATATATTTATCGCTTCCTCGACATTCACTCTTTTCATATATGCTTGCTGGTTCTCATTGCATTTGTCTGACATCCCTTATCGAAAACACAATCAGTTTTATCGTCAAAACTGTATCTTGTCCTGCTACCCCTTCCTAGATTCTTCAATATCGCATTGTTATATCACCATTCTTCATCAGGCATTTTTCCACATATCCGAATCCGTATAATCCGTAGCTTGATCAGATGAATACACAATCAGTGCTACTTATAAACAAGGTTTAGCGTCAGAGTATATTTACGCTAAAATTGCAATTTTAGTATTAGTCCATATTCATATTACACAGAGAATAAGCACTTACTAGTAGAACTTCGTATTAGGTTAACCTTTGTTAAGTCTCTGTTTAATAATATGAATTTTGACTGATACCAAGAGCAGTCTCAGGGTAAATTTACTCCAACGCTAAACCTTCTTTATAAGTAGCACTTAATGAGTGTAACCCAATGACTTCTATAATATTAATATACTTAAAAATCTGTGGTATTACCTGTGTACGAACGTTCCAACAGCAGGTGGGTGCGTGAGCCCATAGACAATAAAGTTTTCCTATTACCAAAGTTAAATTGGGTGTATACGCTTAATTTGAAGTCACCAAATTGTTTCTAAAATTACTGTGATAGCCTGACGTGCAACCCTGTACTTTGTATTGCAGTAACATTACGTTGCAATTGGCAGGTACACCAAAGCAGTGAGGATCAACAAGTGGCAGGCACGCTGAGCGACTATCTGGTAGGCGTAGTCGGCGTCGATTTGGTCTACCTCATCAAGCCATATCACCCGCTTTATCCTAACTATTCCGATACTGATATACTCGGTTGGTACTTATATCAATATCAGCTATTGTCTTGACTTACAAATAACCAATAGTCAGTGAAATTGTTGCCGCATTTAAATGTCAAACGTAAAAGATAGTCAACCCGGTTCGAGTCTCGGTTGTGGCACCTTCATTGTCTCAGAGACTCAATACGGAGGCGTTAGCTACTCATCTTGGTACCTGAGCAACGTAGGTGATGTTGTCAATAAAAAAGAAACAAATTTCGGCCTCTATCTACGACTACGACTGAAATTTATAGTGAGTCTTGTTTTAATAACCATAGTGTGACAATAACGTATTAGATTTTTATGTTGCTCACAATTAACTGAGATCGTCCGGTGGTACTTGAATAATTCTAATTGGTCTATATGTATTTGCCGCACTTCGAAATTTTACCTTCTGCCTAGATACATCAATTAGCCGCATCAGTTGTATATTACCTGTATAGTATAACAATTACTTGCCTATTATAAGTATTGTCTTGTGTGTATTGCCTATATACAATTACTTTTATTTCAGAAACGTATGTCAAACAATCACTAACCACCATACTGAGCGTCGTGAGAGGATGGCGCAGCAGTACCAAACTTAATACTTTATCCTTTTTCGGAAGGGATGTTGAATTCTAATTATTATTATATTATTATGACTACAAATATACATTTTATATAATACCTTTTATCCCGCTATACATTCCTCTCAATAATATCAGGACATGGTACTGTTTCACATTGATATAAATTCTACAGCTGAAATCTTAGGTATAGCTTGTGACAAATAAAAGGAAATGTGGCTTGTTGTCTCCGTTTTAATAACATTTTGTTCTAAAAATAAATAACATACATAGGTACTTTATAAAATGAGCAATGTACACTATTTACATATTGTGATTTATTCAAATATCAACTCGTAGTCCCGTTACTTATAGACGTGATATTTTTTCTTAATAATGAAAGATCAATATCCCAACTCTTCGCTAAAACACTAATCGTATCTAGTAAACTTTTATGTATATCACTTTTTCCGTTAAGATCTGATGTATGAAGTACGCTTAATTTTAATGATACTTCGTGTAGATATTGCAGTCTCTTGAGAAATGCGGCTTTCAGTTCCTTATGTGTAGTGCGACGCCAATATTTCAGGTTTCTGGCTATGAACGTTGTGACATGCTCTCTAATATCTTTGAGGCACGTTTTCTTCTCTACGATCATCTATAACAAATAAAATATGAAATCAAAAAATGCTAATGGAATTTGTATCGAGCTTAAATGTTAAATGTTTGTTTACGAAATCGAAAAGATTTCGTAAAATGACCTGGCATTACATATCTTTTTAACTCGTACACAATCATATTGCTAATGCGCTTGCACAGATGCATCTAGCCAATTTTGTCATAGTAAAAGTAAAAGACAAAATGTTCCAAAAATTTTGTTTGTTTATTAAATGTGCTGCTATCTACGGTGAGTTTTGCGCACTATGCCTTATTCACAGACGTAAATTGATTTTATTTCGAGATATTTTCTTTGTGCACAGTTATCAAAATCAAAATTATTTATTCAGTGTAGGCTGTTATAAGCACTTTTGAAAGTCGAGAGCTACGCCATCGGTTCGTACATCTACGGCGGGAGACTTTGTACCGAGAAGAACCGGCAAGAAACTCGGCAAAGAATGCTTTTTTCTCCCTGTTTTATTTCATACAGAGCGTCAAGATTGATAAGTGACTTCTTTAAAATTTGAAGTCACTTTGCATTAAAATAAAAGTATACCGATATTTATGAATTATTAGCCTTAAGGTCAAATTAGTCACAAGGCCGTCGTATCAACGGCTCACATTCGAATCGCACTTATCTAATGATAGTTAGATTAAATTCAACACTGCGTAGAAAGTTTTAATTACTAGTACAGAGTTATGATATGTGCGAAGCATAACCTTCGAGTTCGTGTATTTCTACTTTATATGCAATAACTATTACATCTTAAATCAGAGCTGAAAGAGGAAAAATTATGAACAATTACTAGTCATGTTAAGCGGTTCACATAAAGTATTATTTCAGCTACTTGACTTTTTTTACTTACAGGTCTATTTTTCTTCAAAAAGTGTTATTAAGGGAAAAACATATTTTTATTCATTTTTAAATTGTCCCGCGAAAACAATCAGTTATGTTACACGACATAAGTAATGTTTGCACTCGCAACAAAGACGTCGATGGATAGTTTAATTTATTTATTCAGCCGGTTTATTGAAAGCTGACGCCCACGATCGTTGTTGTTAAGCAACTTTCGATATGGTCGGTAACGGAATAGGTGACTAAAACATTATTATCTCGAGTTACTCGCTGTTGGTCCCGGCTGCATTAGCAGTCGTTAATACCCGGCAAACGCATTGGGCCAGCGTGGGGATCACAGCCCATCCTTAACCATCCATAAGGAAGGTCTGAGGCCCTGCAATGCATAGGTAAAAGGGCTGATGGTGATGGTGACAATCATGCTCCACAATCTCCAACGGTGGATTTGAGTTCATAACAATAATTAAACTTATTTACACAAAAAAAAAATGACTAGCAGGGCGGCAACTGTTACTAACCAAGGCAGAAACTTGATATTGCGTTTACACTCTCCCCCCTCCCCCTCCTTTAATCCGCCACTGTTTCCAACACATTTCATAATTTATTATCATAACTATCAAATACCGACTATTAAGAGAGATAAGCCTACCTTTGCATTGGCACATAAAGCCAGTCGAACCCGCAGATGCTGTAGGGGTCCCAGTGAACGCAGTACCAACGCAACGAGCCCGCTGGACGTCACGCGCGCACCAGACGGATACGCACGACTGTCGGCCTCGTGGACCCTGCACGAAAACACGGCAGTTGACTTTTGTCAATAGGGGTGTCGACAACTTCTTTTTTTTTAATATTTTCATTTTATAGATGTACGGTCGGCCAAGAAAGTGGTCTACCAGTTTTGACAACATTTCCCGTGTCTTTAAAGCATCGCTAAAGGCGAATCTTAGAATTGCATACAAACAATAAAAGAGATGCACAATGCTGACGTGTTGTCGTAGAGCACAAATGTTATTTTGACCTTTGCAGCCTATGCATTAGATAATAATTTGCAACAACAAATAGTCTTCACAATATTTCATAAATTTAAAATTTAAGTAGGTCACTTCAAAGTGGAAACTATTTTGTTACGAAAACTCTTTTACTGAAAAAGAATATATCACTTGACAATTCATGTCAAATATTTTCTCGGCATTTTCCGTAGGTATTTTCCTAATTAATTTACACTACAATGCCCCGAAATTTATCCATTAACGAAAGAGCACAAATAATCGCATTACACAATGATGGTTTGAATATTAGTGAGATTTCTAGAGAATTAAATGTGTCGGTAAGTATTATTATGTCTGACGTGAGTTTAATGTAAAATCTCAGACCAAGTCCGAGTGTAAAATTTTTTTTTTATTTTTTCTGTTCATATTTTATTTTTGATTATAGAGACAAGCTGTCCGTCTTTGGATAAGACGAGAAAGCGAGGAGGGGAATTTGAACGCTCGGAGTCGTAGCGGTCGTAGACCTGAAATATCAGATACTCAGCGAGTCTTCATGAGACGGAGTTATGAGGAATCTGGCTTTATACCAACGCGTTATTTTGCCGACATATTTGACGTGACTCTCCAAACCATTAGAAACCATTTACATTACATGGGCTTACATCACAGGCGTTATGCAAAGAAAATTTATATGACTGACGCTCATAGAATGGCCAGATTAAATTTCGCCATAGAATATTTGGATTTTGATTGGAGTAACACTGTTTTCTGTGACGAGAAAACTTTTAAATCCAGTCAACACGGGCGTCTACACCTTTGGCGATTCAATAAAACGCGATACACGCAAAATCATGTCGTGCCAAATAGAGAATCGGGTCGTATCTCGGTAAATTTGTATGGATGGATGACTGCTGATGGTGTTGGAGACTTGACCTTTTTGCCACCACGAGCAACGGCATCAGATTATGTTGATGTTCTCCAAAATGCTATGTTGCCATCCGTCCGGAACGTTTATCCAGAAAATGAAATGCGTCAATTTAATTATTTACAGGATAACTGTCCCTTACATAAAGCAAGGGTAACACGTGCTTGGTTTGATGCACATCCGGAAATAAACTTGATACCATGGCCTGCAAAATCGCCAGATCTCAACCCTATTGAAAATATGTGGGGTCTTATGGTTCAGAGATGGTGTAACCGTAATGAACGAACAGCAGAAGCACTACAAGGGCACTGCAATGAGGTTTGGGAGGAAACACGTGGGTCTGATATCTGCTCAAGACTGGTGGGCTCGATGAGGGAACGTCTCCAAGCTGTTATAGAGGCAGATGGCGGCTACACAAGATTTTAAGAATTATAATTTTATAAAAGAATTGTATATATTTTTTAACAACCAAAGAATTAGCATTTTCACTATCTCTTCTAGTTTTAGCCCTTGTCTCGCACTAAGCTATGGGTCGGCGCAATATGTTTTTCGTCGCTATTCATTTCTGTTATCCGTTATCTCAGTATATTCAGACCTATAACACGCATAGCTTCTTACGCATAGCATTTCACTACCTACTGATTTTTTTTATTTGTATTAAAATATAATTAATCTACATTCTAATGTAGGATATTTGTAGACTATAAGACTTTATTTATGATATTCTAACTCTAAAGTATTTAAACATACAAACAGACAGACAGAAAAAAAAATATTTTTGGCTTCTATTAGTCTTATGAAGGCCGTCCATATATTTTTTTTCCAAAATATCTTACAAATGTAACCTTGTTACATTTTTATTATAGGTATAGATAATTACTGTCAAAGGTTACGTCAAAATGATGAAGATAGCAATAATGACGTGTACTTGACGTGTCAAAAAATTAATGCTATGGAAAATCAACCTTGTTGTTAGTTGACGTAACACGCGAAATTCAACCTTAGGGTGGTAGACCACTTTCTTGGCCGACTGTACCAAACCAAGTTTCATGAAGAAGCGGATTTTGAGATTTTTTCTTTAAATACAGTTAATTACATCTTTTTTGCGAACAGAAACCAAGTCAGTACATTGATTCACTACCCAAATTAAAGTTCATTTTTAAGTTTCTGTAACCCAAAGGGTAAAACGAGTCGTTTTTGGCACGGAAATCTTCATGCACGACTTCGGACTCGCGCTTAACCGGTACCGGTATACATGAAGTTAAAATTTATTTCCGCGAACAAAATATAGAAGTCATTGAACTTAATCGAAAGTAACCAAATAAAAAAGCAGTTGTATTTATTTTCGCGAACAAAATACAGAAGTCATTGAACTTAAACAAAAGTAACCAAATAAAGAAGCAGTTGTGGATAAATTTATACAATGGAAAACTAATGATGACTATACTTACGTATCCGCGGGGAAGACGAAGATTGTAGGATAATGATGCACGGTGTACTGCCAGGGCAGATCGTGCCTGAGCGCATCCAGTCTAGCGGGCAGTACGGGCAGACCGCACGCGGCGAGCATACGGGCCGCTTCCAACAACGCACGACTTGTGGCCGCACCGCAACCGCCACCGCACACGCACACCAAACGCACCTAACGTTACAGACATCACTTTTAACAGACATTCTTGACTTATTATTTATTTATATGACACTACATCTATGCCAAACTATATGCATGACTAGCGGCCGCACCGCACACGCACACCAAACGCATCTAACGTTACAAACATTGTCTGTCAAAAGAGACAGACAATCTTGAATTATTATTAATTTATATGACAATACATCTATACCAATCTATATGCACGACTTATACGACACCAAACGCACCTAAAGTTACAATCATATACTTATGTATTATATATACGACAAAAAGGAGCTCGAAGGAGCCGTGGTTAGAAAGAAGCTCGATAGCGCAGTCGTCAGCACGCTCGGTCTACGATGTTTTTTATACTCAACTTTCACAAGGGCCGGTCATAAGAATGAGTGATCAAAAATGTACTATATCGAGCTCCTCCGTGCCTCGGAAGACATATTAAGCCGTTGGTCCCGGCTGCGTCTGCAGTCGTTTATACCTACCAATCCGTGCTGGGCCCGCGTTGTGGATTAAGACTCATTCTCCCATTTCGATGCTATACATAAGGAAGGCCTGAGCCTCAGCAGCGGGATATTAATAGGCTACGGCAATAATTCTATTCTATTCCAAATTAAATACACTACTAGTAGCTGCATCGCTACTGCCACCGCCACCGCACACGCACACCAAACACACCTAACGTTAATTTATATGACAATACATCTATTCTATTCCTAAATACATGCGCGTCTAGTGGCACCCTCAACTGGAATCCCATGATCATAACGCAACACTGTATGGTCATTATCATTTATTGTCACGATAAAGACATAGTCCGAGTTATGTATGGCACCACTGGTGATTTAAGCATAATCCTAATTGGCTGCGTTCATTTCCTATTCGTCCTAGTAACCTTACACGTTCGCGAAGGACGGCACGAATAGGTGTTCTATTAAATAAAACTATGCTCTAAGGGCTTTCGTCGTGCCATAGTAGCCAATCGCGTTAAAATACGTGACACATGCATCGACGATTTCTTTATGTGAAAAGAACGATAAATCGTCCTATTCTCAACAAAGCGTGCTAAAAGAAAACTAAATTACTTATAAAACAAATTTTCTGTGCTGTCAAGATGGTGAACAGTTAACGTAGACAACGTTCATACTCTTAAGAAAATAGCAGTTGCTGAGATTCTCGTTGGTTCTTCTCATTACAAGTTTTCTTGTTACTTTGATTTCATTGATAAATTTGCGCATTTTTAGACTTTCAATAGTATTTGCAAACATCCTACTAGACTCATGCATCACAAATGTAAACATATACCATGAATATAAATAAATTTGAGGAAATGTTTGTTTCAAAACCAGATTTATGTGAATAAGAAAATAATCATTAGTCATCATCAGTGGTCGGAATTAGGTAGAGTTATTCATGTACTTACACTGATTTCATACAGCGAAAGAATAAAGTGGATATGCCTCAAATCTCGAGATTAATTTTAAAGAGCAGAAAAATCCCGTGATTTTTTAAATAAAAATTTATTTACTTTTACACAATTTAAACTACTGCACGCACGACGTTGCCAAACTTACATCAATGAAAGAACGAAATAAAGAAATCCCGAATAGGTCCACATTAATATCAACATTTCGATGCAAGTACATAAATAACTCTACCTAATTCCGACCTCTGGTCATCATGAAATCACTCACCATTCCCGAGGTCCTTACAATTTTTCTAAACGTCTGTGTTGTTAGGTCTACTATGTCTACGATGCTATCGTTGCTGGCGGAAGGCGAATTTCCGTCGGAACCAAAATAATGAGTGTGTGACGCGTCTTCGACGTGCTTGCGTAACGAACGTTTAAGGTTTTTATGAGTGAAATTATAGATAAAATCTCTTAATGATTTGGCACTGTACTCTTCTGATAAAACGTACTGAGTTTCAAGCTGAAAAGATTATTTCGTTTTTTTAGTTACCTTATGATTTTCCAATTTTTTTGGAGTTTCATAAGAACAACAGTACAAATAAAACTGTGAATTATTATATACTATGTACACAAAATATTCATAATGGAACATGAATCGTACGGGAGTAATAAAAGAATTAAAGAACACACTAATTAACATTTTTTTGTGCATGTAAACATTAAATGTGTATAAATAAATTACCTTGCTGTCCAAAATGACAACAGCAGTCATATCTTTCATTTTCCTAATATCAACACCTAGGAACTCAGGGAAATGGTGATTCCGGACACTGTCGACAGCTAAAATGTGTAATGTGAAGTTCTTTTCACACGCAAGACCCTCTACATGAGTGATATTACGTCTCTCTGAGGAACCACGAACTTTGGCAGGTGCTACTGGTTGTCCAATTTCATTGGCAAATTTAAAAACTTTACAAAAATGCTTCACATTATCCTGCACAAGATTTTCTGGAGACAAAGGATCGTCTTCAAATGGCAGCATTGAAGTTTCAAAACTAAAAATAGAATTGAATATAATACTTCATAATGTTTTCTATAAAATTAATTATTCAATTGAATATTTTATGTTTCTGTATGGTTACCTTATGTCATTATCCACCTCTTCTTCATGACTGAAGTTATCTTCAAGTTTTTCACATTTCTCATATATGTCATTGAAGTTTTTCTCAGCTGGCATTACAGTAGTATCACACTGATTAAACACTGATAAACTAATCATTTCAGATTCATCATCCATATTTTTAATTGATCGCGAAATATCTAAGCTTTTCTTTAAGAGGGAAGCGAATGTTCCAGTTTTCTGATTTTTCTGAGTAACATTGTTCCAAGGATATTTATTATTTTGAGATATCACTTCTTTTTTATAATATTTATTGGATCTCATAAGTGGTTTTCTGAATTTATATTCTTGACAATATTTTTTAAAATCTTTCTGTTGGTATAATAACCTCTGCACTTGTTGCAATTTTATCAGTTCTGATATCCATTGACTTGTTTCAGTTTTATTGCAGTTATAATATTCCATAGCAACTTCACGTAACTGTAATAATAATATTATTATTATTAACAACCACATTATCAAAACCAGGTTTTCTAATTATCAAGATAATTATTATTTTGATAATTATCGGTAGTTACTGTCAACAATTTAAAATACATAAAATAGTATAATTTTTGTTCCTTAAAAATATAAAAAGAAAATGAATAAAAAAAAAATAAGTAAAATCACATTGAAGAAAAAATGAAATGAAAATATAACTAAATAATATATATATGTATATTTTAATAAAATTAGGTGTTCAATATTTTGTTTGTAACTATCCTAGGCAATTTTCACTGTCAGAAAAACATTTGATAGTTGTTTAAAGATGATTCCCCTCTAATAACAAGTCTTAAAGTACAAAAATAATTTTTCGAGGTATATTTATCAAGATAATTATCAATGACAATTATCACTCCGAGCCCTGTTTAAACAGATGGATACTTTAAGACAGGATCTCAAACTTCATTTTTGTAAAGGACCAACTTTTAAATTTAAAGTGTAGGCAGGTCTACCGGATTAAAATGAAATGTACTTAATTTATTTATTTAATTATATAATATATGGTTGTTGCGAATCATATAAAAGTTATAAAAGAGAGTAATTATTTTGGACTCGATGGTCCAGATACCTGACTTCTCTTGTTCTTACAAGCTCATTGATGTCAGGTATCATATTCGGTGTAATTATCAAAATGGAATGAAGTCTTAAAGCTCTAAATAACATGATTCTTTTTTCTGTGATACATTGCGATCGCGAGCTTTATTGATACATGACTGCTTTAAGAGGTGCTTGAGGAAGTATTTTAAGAAAAAAAAAAGCACTAAAAAAGCACCTCACTACATGGCGACTCTAGCAAAAGTTGATTTTTGCAGGAAACGAATGGATCAAAGATAGTCATTTCCGTATGTATATTAAAAAACTGAAAGAACAATGGTCAAAATGGACTACGAAAAAAAAGTTTTTGTACTAAGATGGAACTATCACCAAAATGTAATATAAGTTGAATGTAATTATATACAAACAATTTATTTTTAAAAGCTGGGAAAAGAAAGATAATCCTCTCTAAAATATGTCTTTATTTTTTAGAACGCAGTTTAAATTATGTTATTTTTGAACGCATCTTATTAATAATGTCATTCCTAGAGAAGTCCCTCTCTTTTCAGAGAACAAGATCGATTTTTAGACAAGTATGTGTGTGTAGACGTATTTTTACGCAGACCGTTTTGTAACTTTAACGGTGATTTTGTATTATCTTCTGTATTATGGGGAGCATACTAGGATCCATAGGCAGTTTACAATTAAGGTCTGAAGAGAAATACCGGATTTTCTGGATTTATTAGAATTAGACTTAAATATAAATAAAGTCCTATCAGTAGAATTAAGTCGAGACATTGGGAGGAAACAATATTATGTGTCGATGTACACTAGGATGCTGTGCTCATATGATGATCATAGTTTGGTATCTTGGATGGGCCAGACATGAACAGAATGTAGCTGCTCCTGCAGGATTCCGTATTCATTAGAGTTGTAATAAAGAAAAGAAAAATCAATATGTTGCTTTGCTATATCCTTTTGGAATTAGTATTTTCACAACTACTTTATATAAGTTATAGTGTAAGATAGAAAAGTAGAGTTATTGAGAGCAATCTTAAAAATTCTATTTTCTTTTTTTTTTAAGTTTATTGATTCACAAATAATGATTTTATTTCTTACAGTCAATAAAAATAATTTATCAGATATGGAGCAAGTTTGAAGTATTATGTGAAAGTATGCACTTCTAGGATTACGATTAGGCATTATCTGACGTGTGCTTTACATATTTCAACTGTAATACCTCTAACTCAAAATGCTACAGTTTAAATAATACGACATAACCTCAAAAACATATTACACAATTACTCGATACTCCCAGCTTTTAAAAATATATTTAATGTCTTTCTTTGTTCTAGTTGCATAGGCAAACAAAATAACATATGTTTCATCAAGTTACGTTTTATTCGATTTTACTAGTCCAAGCATGTTAGGCAGATGGCCATTGTTCTTTACAAAGTTCGAAACTTAGATATCAATAAATACGAAAAAGTTCAAATAGAATACGAGTTGTTTATCGAGTTTTAAAAATTAATTTACTTTTATACATAAAAATAAACCAGAAAGGTTCTCATAGAGAAATCAAGAAAGTACCGTAGCGACATCTAGTTTGATTTCAGGAACTATTTTTTTAATGCTTGACAGTTATAACAATAAATTAAGAAATATTTTGGAAATGGTAAATAAATGTAAGCAAACTATAAAATATTTTTTGATAAAAATACATTGTAAGTTTGTATACTTTAGAACTTTATTTTTACAAAATTAAATTGCGATTTATTTGTAATGAGGAAGTATTTAAAAATAAAAAGAAAGCACCGAAAAAACACCTCCACTAGATGGCGACTCTAGCAAAAGTTGATTTTTGCAGGAAATGAATGGACCAAAGATAGTCATTTCTGTTCCATTTAACTAACATATTCAAAAACTGAAATTTGCAAGGTTCTAAACTTAGATATCAATACAAATACGAAAAAGTAGAAATAGAATGTGAGTTGTTTATTCAGTTTTGAAAACTAATTTACTTTTATACATGAAAGAGAAAACCCGAAAGGCTGTCATGGAGTTATCAATTAATTAAGTACCGTTGCGAAATCTAGTTTAATTTCGGGAACTATTTTTTTTCTTATACTGCCTCATTAAAAGAACCGAAACAGGGGTAACCAGTGTTGTTAACAGGGGGAACATGTTTATTGAAATGTGACGTCATAGCTCGAAATGCCAAGTGACTGATTTATTTCGTGGAACAAATTAAATTAATAAATAAAAATACTTTTCCCAAAACAGTTTATTACAAACAGGTTGAGAGCATGATATTGTACTGAGTATTATACTCATGGATAAGCATAACTTCTTTTTGTCAATCCAGAACTTATTATTCTAATATTAAACACCCTCTTTTGTTCTCTCTCCTATCTACTTGCATGAGTAAACTGGTATATTACTGGTATATTATAATACTATACAATACATACCAAATCATATGAGGGCAGCTGTTGGTACAGCGGGTTAAGTGGTGTGAACAGCATTAGAATAGGATTTCCATCAGCATATTTTTCAAAACTAAATGCTTTTTTCCACATTGGTATAATTCTAGCTACTGGCTGAGTAAAGTTTTCTAAAACCCATTTAAGAAGAGCAGATTCATTCCAGGGTTGCATACGGTCATCAGTTATGTACTCCTGTGTATACATAAAATTAAATTAAATAATACTCAAAAAAAGCAAGTTCTGCCTTAGTAATAATGAAGAATTCAGAATAATGAAATCTATCTTATTGTTTTAAACTTGGTATAAACATGTGTGTGACAGTTTTGTTACACTATTTAATCATAATGTATTTTACAACAATAAGTTGACAATTAATTCAAATAATTCATACTTTGTAAACATGTGCTGCTATTTAAACTGCTTTGTTTCAAAGTATGGTAACTATTTATTTGGGAAAATTTTAACCTTATTTATGTACATGAAATAGTACTGGCTTGGCTGTATTACATAAAATGTAAAAAATAATAAAAGACACTGACTTGTGTGTCTTTTATTATTTTTATGACCTTAATTAATTAAATTTGCACACCGTAATTGTCTCTTCCTTATTTTGTTTTTAATACACTTCTTTGTTTAATATAAAGAACTAATTAACATTTAAATTATATGGTTTTTGGTGAACTTTTTATGGAATACCAAACATAGTAAATATCATATTCATGTATTTTATATTAGCTTTAGAAAGCAAAGGTGGGCTGGCTGGAGTCAAAAACACTGAACATAGTAAATCTCTACAGCCTTTTTCTTATTAATTTGGGAAATGTTTTAAGCACAATTGTTTCCATAGCCACCTTTGTATCATTCCACAGCATGAGACGTGCATTAGGTACAGACTCAACTCCCAACTCCACAGCCAAATCTTGCGAAGTTACTGTTGCAAAACATATTTCACCAATAGTATCATACTCGCGAGCTTTAAGTGCAACATAATACCAGATGTTATAATATTTTGATGTATCTTTAAGAGGTGTATAAGCAACTGCTACAGCCTGTAATTACAATTAATAAAAATATATAGTGATTTTAAAAATTCAAACTTGATTTCAATAAAGTTTACAGCTCTTACTCACTTCACACATCGAAAGCAAATTAACAAGATCTTCTGTAGACGAAACCCTCTCTAATGGGTACATTATCAGTTTTAAAAACTTAACCATACTATGAGCATCTCTAGGTCCTGAAACAATTGAAATAGATAATGACTACTCATTACCCATTACAAGCATGTTGGTTACTTGCTTATTTCATTACCTTTATATAGTACACCTCGTGATGTAACAGTGTAAGCCATCAAAATAGGCCATGATGGTATTTTGTTATGTTGCAATCTACATTCACTCCCAGGATTCCAACAGTTGATAGCAGAAAAATGTACCTATGCAAGATAAATAAAACCATAACTTCAACTGTATTCCTTTTACTTTACTACTATGACTTGCAGATCATTTTCTAATGATTTTTTAATTATCAATTTTACATTATTTCTACCTGACTTACATAATATAAAATATAATTATGTAAATTCTTAAAAAGACAATAACACAATAGAATATTATGTTTGGTATAAAGATTTAATTTATATGTAGAAAAGAAAGCCAACTGTGAAAAAAATTACAAAGTATGGATTAATTGTAGAACTCCGTTGATAGAAAAGGGAATAAAAAATACCTGTTAACTTACTCTGTCACTTAATACTGAGGCAGCCTTTTCAAACTCTCCACGGACATATTGTGATTCTGCATCCCAAGGTGCATAATACATAACAAATGAAACATCCACACTGTTGATGACTGAGAGGGCATTACCAAGTTGTCCTCTATACCAATCTGTTACTACTGACCCATAATCAAAAAATCTCACAGCCTGAGGATGGTTTGATATTTTTGTTGGTCTAAAATCAGTCAGCCCATATAAAAATAATCTATACAATATTATTATAAGATTGTGATACAATATTATTACTTAAAAGAAACAAAAACACTTACGAATTATGAAGAGCTCCATATGTAGTCAGTGCAAGAGCAATACAAAACACCATTTCCTTAACTAACATATTGAGGGTTAGCTCCCTGTTGTTTTGTTGTTTAACGATTTGTGTATTCTCAGCCGAGTTTTGCACATCGCTAGTAACACCTGGTATCTTCTTCAGTGACGTGACCTGTATGATATCTTCAGCGTCCGCCGTTGGAAACATTACACGTCAGTCAATAACAACCACAATTCTGAAGTTCGTTCATTGGATATTTGACATTGGAAATTAAGTCTCTCAATATCCTGACAATTAACAATTTGATTTAAATACAAATTCATAATAGAGCCACTTTTAAGCTGCTATCTCTGCAGGTTTTATCTTAATCATTCCATAAGAAACTATTAATTTGATTCGCAAGCTTTGCAATATATTCAACCAAAGAAATGTATGTACACGAAATGTAGTTTTTCTATGAATGACAGTGACAGCCAATTTTTTTTTCAAATGTTTTACCGGCTCCGGCTTACATGGCCCTCAGCTTACTTATGTATATAAAATGTAGGGGAGAAACGACATATGAGTAATCGATATATCGTCAATATATATTAATGTTTAACTTGCTGGTGTGTTGGATGTATTAGTCTGTAAGTCAGCATGTAAAAAAAATTAAATGTCTAAACTTAATATCAAATGAAACTCAAATAGTAAAAGTATGTTAGTTAACCAAATTATAACATCTTACGGCTGATCTGCATATATATGACTTTTGTGAAAATCTTAACAGTATTTATTACACACTACACTAAATTTTCATGTCCGGCGGTCCGATTTTTTCCGGTCTGGAATGAGATGAAAAATCCGGCTAAGTAGCTTGTGCACTTGTCCGTTTTTTCCCGGATCGGAGCGGCGCAGTTTAGGGTAGCTCACGTCACTTACGCTACGTACGATGAGATTTTTGGAACTTCGATAATTGCTTGCTTTATTACTCTACGTGCGAAGACGTAGAAGACAAAAAATATTGGGTTCATCCCCTTATAAGTGAAAGGTACCTAAATAATGACCTGACATGGTCATTTTACGTAAAACATAATAAATTGGGGCAAGACAAAAGCATTTTTTTTAAGTGCTATTAGATGTAAAATCTTATACCCTTATTAATTTAGGAACAACATTATACACATACAATAGCTAAAAACATCTTTGTTCTCGCACTTGATGTTCAAATGTATAGTCATGCATTTTCGAAGTTTTGTAAAAACAACTTCAAGGGATTACAGACATAGACCAATCGTTGATGCCGTTTCGTAAACAAAGCGAAATTAGTGGCGTGTAAGCGGAGAATTAATATGTTAAATGAACTTTACGGTGGCATTTAAATCGGCCAACATTTTTTTAGTAAGTTTTAATCATTGTAAGATCAGTTGGCTGCATTATATATATACTTACTAGCTAGAAGCTATTCTTTTATACGCATGGTATAGTTTCTTTGAGCAGAATTCTTTTTCTTGTAGAATACTTCTGTTATCATATATTTATTTATACTTATCTTATCAATTGTCAAAAAACAACAATTTTGATAATGACAAATTTTCCATGCAAACTTTCAAGGCCTTTGCTCAGCAGTGGGCGTCTTACGGCTGATGATGATGATGATAAGTGAATCCAAATTCGGATTCGGATTTTTACAGAATCGCAGGGTAGATACTGGTACACTTATATGTAAGTTGTGTTTTTTCTTCCTTTTTGTTTTTGCTTGAGTGAAAAAAAGTGTTTAGTACTATTTTTTGGATATCCCTAACAATATAACATTTTTGAGATGTCATCTATACCTTACGTATCGAGTTGGCAACACTGATCAGTCAGCCATTTTCTTTAAAACTACATGTTTGTGACTTGTTTTTAGTATATGAATATTGTCATATTTTTACGCTAATAACGGCCACTAAATAATGACATAAGAAATAAAGAAAACTGATTTCTCAAGAACTTTTAGATTAATTTCTTAATGTTGGATTGCTACTCAAATTCGTAACGTAATAGGTTTACTTTGGTAATGCTGCGTTGAAAAATTATCCTTGTGATATTGTTTGAAAAGTTGAACCTCGTCATAAAAATGGAATCTCTACAATCTGAGTCCGAGACATTGGATTATTGGAAAAAACAAGCTAAGTATTACGAGCAGAAGTAAGTGATAAATCGTGCAACTTTGCTGGTGTTTTGGTTTAACAATAATTGTTTGTGTTATGTATGACTCACTTTGTTGTTTTAGAGTTAACGACATTCAACAAGAATTAGATGAATACACTGAAAACTCAGCACAACTTGAAAAAGAACTGGAAGCATCTTTGGTTCAAGTTGAAAAACAAAATAGAGATTTAGATCATCAAAATCAAAGATTGAAAAACGAAATTGATATGTTGAGGGTAATGATATCTCCAATGTCCACTGAGTAAAGTTTTGTTTCATGAATTATTTGACTCATATTAATCTTGTTGCTTTCAGAATAAATTAGAACGAAGCCAACATGAAACCAATGCTTTGGAAAATGAATTGCAAGCTTTGAAAATAGAAAAGGAAAACCAAGGTGTTTATATAAGAGAATTAGAACAAAAAAATGATGATTTGGAACGAGGACAGAGGTAGATATATAAAAATTGTCAATTATTACTTATGTTGAGATGTTGGCCATTCAGATCTGGGTGACCCTAGTCTTCTTTTGTATAGTAATTATATATTTTTAAGTAATTAAGATGTAAACTTGGAGTCCTTGATATGAATATGGTATTAACATAGTGTGCTATTACCCGACTATGGTGAAGTGAAAAGGAGGGTTATGATTTTGGCCAGTATGTATGTAAGAATGTTCATCTCTTTCCTTATTATTTCGAAACTACTTATTGTAACTGGACAAATGAGGTGGTATCATTAGTAGTGTTTTAATTGTCCGTGTGCTATAGGCTATGTAGCATAACATTAAATTGGCAACAGCACCCTCTAGACAGCATCAAGTAAGAAACAAAAAATGTATTATTCAATCATTCCATGTAGGCTATCAAATGAAAGGGCCTAATTAGAACATTTCAAATCTATACTAATACTATAAAGTTGGAGAGTTTGTTTGTTTGTTTGAACGTGCTAATCTCAGGAACTACTGGTTTGAATTGAAAAATTGTGTTTGTGTTGAATAGACCATTTATCGAGGAAGGCTTTAGGAGTTTAGGCTATATAACATCACGCTGTAACTATTAGGAGCAAAGATATAATGGAAAACGTGGCCAAAGTCAGTGGCGGCCATTAGTATTATATATATTTGAAATTAGAAAATTATTTTATATTGATAGCTATAATTTATATAGATTACCAAAGGACAGTGTAGTTTGTTTTATAATGATCAGTGGCATACGATTATGCTGTCTTTCTGTCATTGCCATTATAATAAAGCTACCGCTATAAAATAAATTTCTTGTTTCAAACTTTTTAGACTGTCGTTTAGTTGTAGTCATTTCAGTTTTTGAACTTATTTTGTATATAACTATTTGATTTCTATTTCAGAGTGATTTCAGAATCGGTATCATGTATAGAAACATTATTAAACCAAGCATATGAAAGGAATGCAGTATTAGAGAGTGAAGTAGATGAAATTGAAAATTTAAGAGTAAAGTTACAGAGAGCTACAGATGAAGCTAGAGGTAAGAAAAGTCATAACGATGTACATAGAATATATCCGATAGTGTTAATATTACAATTAATAATATCTGCCTGTTTCTGAACTGATCAATGACTCACAGCTAGTTGCACAAACATGCATTAAAGTTGTAGTTACAACATTACTTCTACAAATTTTCAAATTTAGAACTTTCATCAGAACTTTAAAGTCTTTAAACCATAATGGACATTTATGCAACTGGGTGTCAGTAGTGATATAATCCCCGCAAATTGCTCATGTGCAACCATCAACAAATAAATACTGGTTGATGAGTACACTTATTAAGTTGGGTTGTGTTGAGATCAGAAAAAACACAATTTTTGTTACATTTTTCTTGTTATCGATTGTAAGTGTTTTGTTGTTACGTGTTATGGTTGACTAAAATAGCCAGTGCTATTATGTTTTCCAATATAAGTAAGCCTGATTTAATTCAATATTATATATCTAATGTTTCTTACTTCATAATCACTTTTGACAATGTTTTAATAAATCCTCCTTTCCTGTGGTTATTGCGTTATTACAAAGTAAATGTAACTTTCTCCAATTTTGTTGCTTTCCATATACCATAATAATTACTTTTTACAAAAATTCTTGCAAAAAATAACAAACTATAAATTATAAAATTATTATAACAATATTCCATAATTATGAAAAAAATATTTCTTGCATTTTGTCACTTTTAACATTCTCACACATATGTTTTGTTCAGATCTGAAACAGGAACTGAAAGTGATGGAACTAGTTCCACCTCATAAAAAAGAAGATGTTACTAATGATACTTTACACAATGGAATCGTCAACAACCCCTCCAGGACCCATGTTGAAATTGAAACACAGACGTCTATTTCTTCACCACAAAAACGTAAATACATTTTTTTTTTATGATAAGCATATATCACATATATATACAGAATGATTGCCACATGGAATGACACATTTTTTTAAGTGATTTTTAGGGTATTAGCTTGGTTATATCACAACTATGTAAAAAAATATGTCAGCCAGTACATACAATGTATAACATAATTAACGCACATCCTGAAAGTAGTTTATTTAAAATCAGAGACTGATTCGATTTCAACAACTTCTAATATAGGTAATTTTTTTGCTAAATTTAATTGCAATCAAGTAAATAATGGTCACCAGTAACCATTACAGCCATCACAAACAAAAAATAAACTTAAGTGGTAATAAGGTTATAAGGCACTAAATTCTTAGCTTGTAATAAAATACAACATAGGAAAAAAAAAAGAAAAATGGGCTTTCTCCTAATATGCCTTGAGTCTAAAATGCTCTTAAATGCTATTATGCACAAGTTCATAAACCAAAGAGTAAAATAATTCATAAACAAAAAGAAAAATATTATATCACAAATAAACATGACATATGTCAACATGAAAGTGGCAGTGGATTTTATCGCAATTTTAGTTTATCGAGTTTTCAATTTCACATGCGATGGTTCTTCATTATACTAACATACAGTAATTACTAACGCTTAAGGGTTAAGCACAATGTGGTGATATACTCTGATATATAATCGCAAGACTTATAACAAGTAAGAATCATAATCATTGTCTACACGTAAAAAACACTTTGAATTTCAAAACCGAATAATATTTCATGTCATGAATTTTTATTGGTAGGTTGGTAGTATCATTGTGGTATTGCACTGTAGGTCATTGTATGGATTTGTAAGATGTTCACACTGTTAGAGCATTTAGTATAACTGTATCCAAACATAATGTTTTAGTACATAAAAGTATTATTCCGATGTTCATTTTATGATTATAAATGCATTTTCTAGTTGGGGTGAATAAGGATGTGAGTTATTTCTATTACACGTTGTATATATTTTTAATACAGAGTAAATATTTTAATTTTCCTACATAGGTGAAATCAATGGTAATGCAATGACACCATCATCTCGAGTATCTGCCATAAATATAGTTGGAGACCTTCTACGCAAAGTAGGGGTAAGTCAATCAAAAATGTTTTACATAGTTTCCCAAGCTATTGTTATTATTATTGTATTATTATATAGTAAGGATATTGTTAGTTGAGAAATGGTGGTCATTCTGTTCTAAAATAAATGTTAAAACATTATTTGTTTTCGTTTTATGCTGTTTTCCACACATCTAAGATATAATCTCTAAACTATAAAGTTCTTTCCTGACGTATTAGTTGTTTACAACACATTTAAAATACTTTCATAGGTTTAATACTTAAGTTATGGCTTTTTTACATTGGTCGATGGAGTGCCGGTAATGTCTGTGCTTATTTTTATAAAAAATAAAATGATGCCCACAGAGGTTGCCTCTGCATACAGACACACTGACTGGCGTTGGTAATTAAATATGTCAAGTAAATGACACTTAATTGCATAATACACAATTTTATTGCACACATTTTAAAATTAATAGAAGTCAGATGAAAATATAGAAGATCTAAGAATGTCTTCATATTTGGCTAGATTGCAAACTTGATGCCCTTGATAGACACCATTGACAAATGTTAAACGAGCCATTAGGGTTGGTACATTTCTGACGGAAGATGCAATGCAATATTATATATGAAATGGCACTCAACCAACGCAATGGTAGCTCCGTCGAATACTAACACATACTTTTGTGAGACGTTGACGGGTCTTTCGTTAGATGTGCACCAACCCCTAGTTTAGTTTGTCAACAGAATCGCCACCAATATATGTTGATTTTGTAGATAGTGCTCTATATTTGTTGAACGATTTACTATATTTATTTAAATATTCATATTTATTATTACATTTGTTACTATTTATGTAATTATATGGTTGATATTGTTTTTTTTTTTTTTTATTTACCCTGTATAAGTTAAAGTTTATATATTAGCTGTAGATAGATTTAGTAGTTATAATTTAATTACTGCATGGTTGTTGTGTGTAGTATGCATGTCGTTATTGCTTGCAGCTTGAAAGGTTTCTTTGCCGTGATTGTGGTAAGGTCAAATGTTCCTGTGACGAAACTGCTACTGCCACTCTTCATCACACTCATACGTCAGAAGAAAGTGTTGTTAAGAAAAGCGAATTAATTGAAAACAATTCTATTGATGAACCAATACACTATAGAAAATTAATGCGACAGAGCTCTGGACCAGATAAAGAAGCATCTTTCTGCAAAAATACACCAGTTTTGCCTCAAAGATCATCTGAACAGCCATTTGTGAGATCTGTTCAGATGGAAAATGGGAAATTGAGGCGCTCGTTTGCTGTTCGGTCTCGTGAAGGACTCGAAAACCTCATAAGTTTGGCCTCTTTTAGGAAAGGTCAAGAGCAGTCTAAATCAAAACAAGCATTTTGATTATTATTATTATTAGAACCGATGCCATCTTAGAAATAATATATACTAAAATTTAGAAACGTGTTATGTTGAAGACATGAAGTGTGATAATCCAAAAAATTAAGCACTGCATATAGTGTTCACTTATTATTAAGAAATTATGTACCTAAGACGCACAAATTATATTTTTTCATATTACGTAATAGATATTTTTATTGTCTAATGTTGTTTCTTTTTTGTAGCTTTGTATTATATTACAAAACTAATTAGTTGATGGTGTTCTTAGAAGTATCCAATTTATGAGACATTTTAAATAATAATGTTTTATGACATCACATAAATTGGATTGTGAATTAGCTGAACTACTTAGTTACACAACTATAGTATTACCAATGCTATAGTAGTATTGATAGTCTGTAGTTTAGTTATTGTTGGAACTTTCGTTATTGTGCATAATAAGTTAATCAACTTTTTTATAAATGTATATAACAAATTGTTTCATATTTGCCGTATGCGCTCTGTTCAAGGAAATTGATATACAATTGAAATAAACTCTTTATATTAAATTACCAAACATGCTTGCACGTAGTTGTGTTGAGTTGCATGACGTGATCCGTCGTTATGAGTGGCTAAAGTCAGACTTGTTTTGTATTATGCTTTCCACTCTTCATACACTAAACTAGAGTTGCCATGCCACTCCTTAGTGTTCTCCGTAGCGTAAATGGAACTGTTATTACAAATATTACTATAAATAGTAGTAACTATTTTTTCATTTATTGAATATTGTTTATACTAAATACTGCATATAGTTATTATATTAAATAGTTATTGTGTTAAATATGTTGAGAATTAAATAAAATATTGTGCTCTAATGAATTTATAAATAGTAAAGATTTTAATAAACTATTTCGTGAAATTAATTAAAAAATAACACTTACATAAATTTATTTAAAGTTCACAATAAAATTAGGATCAGGAATGATAATATCCTATTAATAACATTTTATTAATGTAAAGAAATACATAATATACCGGTTAATTATATACATAATGAATAGAATCTATACATTATTTATATAATATAATATATTTTTTAATATAATATATTAACAAGATAATCAATAGATGATTATCTTGCTTATACAATACAGGGTTAATTACATTAAACCATCAACCTCACGAGATTAAATATTTAAATAAATAACGATTATTCAATGACTATATTGTGCTGTTTTTGCTTTTGCCAATAAAGCACACGGGAATAACATTTTTGACATTAGCTGGAGACTCCGAAACGTATAATTATAAAATAGTTTATATAAAAATATAAGTGGATCATTTTTAGTACAATTTTCAACAGATAATTTGTTTCTTCTTAATGCGAAGGCCGTTTCTGTACGCCAAGCAAACGCGTTCGTAGTGCATGTTTAAGTAAGATATTATAAAAATTATTACCTGTTTAAGTAGTGAAATTGTGCATAGATTAATTAAACTCACAAGAAAGATAACAATATTTCATTCTTGCTTTGTGTAAAACATGTTTGATGATTAATTTGTTTGCAGAATTGTTTAGATTGCGTAAAATTTTAATTTGTTTATTCTTCATTGCATTCTAAAAACAATGAATATTATGAACTTAGCTACTTGTACATATTACTTTCAAATTTAAAAGGCAAATATAATTGAAACATGTATTAAAGGCGGGCAGCCCTATAACGTGGCTGTAAGTAATTATATTAAGAACAGTAACAGTCACAGTACCGTATATATATTTGTCTAGAGTCTTATATAATAATGTAGGTACATAACTGCGCGCGAGCGTAACGCAACTCTTTAGATAATGTATAAAAAATAGAATTATAAATGTCACAACGAGAGTACAATAACAGTTTAAATAATCATTTGTGTTCAAAGTATCGAGTTGTGGTTACTTATTATCTCGAAACATTATTTATGATGTTAGCTATCTAATGTTGCTGGTAAATAACCCTGTATATGCATGGCTTTTTAAGAATGTTGTATAAACAATATATTTATTTACTATTTTACCTCACGTCGGTGACGGTTTTAACCGCACATTAATTTCCCATCACATACTAATTGCTACTTCATTCATGTTGTGTACTTTTCTTCATTGTAGGCTTTGGAATCAAAATTAGCATCGTGTCGCGGTTCAGTTAGACCTAAAGAGCATTCACCCAATCCAGCATCCGACGTGAATAAGGACTACAGGTGTGTACTCAAGAACTAACAACTATATCACGTCAGGACCTCCTCACTTCACTGCGACTCGCAGTTCTCGCTTATACAGTACCATACTGGGCATATTTCATACATGCTTCATGGTATTTTGTCCCGCTAATCATTGTGTACTGTGGTTTAATATCACATTGTATCCTAATTTACTATTGTCTGTGATGATTATAAAATAAGGATTAATATTATTTGGCCTGCCCACTGAAGACTAGCACTGTGAGTTGCGGTACATACTCTTTGTCGCCTTTGCACATTGTTTTATGTGACTAAAATGTTTTGCCTTTCTACCATAGTCTTACCTATACTTAATATATTCTTGAGGCGGTGAGATTAATATCTATAATAATAAAATATGTACGTTTAATAATACAAGTCTTAGAATACACACTGGGCTCAATTGTAATACACTTTAAATTATTAAGTATTTTTCCTATATTGATACAATAAGGATAGCGAATATTGTATCTGTTAAATGAGTCTGAGAGGTATTATAAGAAATTATTTTATGAATATAAACTAATATCAAGAAGGGTTCTAAAGAAAAGATTTAATATAACGGGCGCAGACACTTTCTATTCACGCCCTGATACAATGAACCTTATGCGCAGTCTAGTTAAAGAAACTATAAATTTATGTAACGTCCATGTTAATGCTAATTTTAACTCTTCTAAATAGTAAGGATACTCGTGTCCTTAAACTAGTATGTAAACACCTGTACCCAACACGTTGAAATCGACGCATATTTTTATATCTAACAATATTTGGAATGTCCTTTTTTCTATCAATATAGAGAAAAATAATAGTGCTATGTTTGAAATTAATCAGTTATAACACTGACACGTCCTACAGTAGTAATGGTAGTACTAAATTAGAAAATTGTTAATTATTATAGTTATGAACTCATTAGAAAGATTGTAATAATATATTTTCAAGTGTTACTGAGAGATGATTATTTTATTTAAAATTTAAAATGACCGACCTTAATAAAGTTTTTGCGCAATTTAATACAATCTTTTTGATTTATAACATGAAACTTTCGTAAGGAATTGGACAAAGCACAATATTATAGGATTAATAGTGCGAGACGATTTTCAACAAACTTGACCAAAGAAACAATCTAGAGTTAAGTCCGCTTGGCGCAACGGTAAAAAAGTTGCGCGCATGACGTTTTGTCAGTTTGTTGTAACGTTGTCGTTTAATTTACAAAGTCTCGGGTTGTTTTGAATAATTCGCGTACATTTCTCCATATATTAATAAATTGCAGATAAGCTTTGGCGAGAACACCGACCAAAATACGTATGTACCTATCATCTTGTGTTGTGTCTGGTAGTGGACAAAACTATTTTGAAATTTCTTCTCTATGTATATATAGTATAAAAAAGGTGTGATTGTTATTAAGTAGTGAAAGTCTAATGAAGGCAATGAAATAAATATTTATATATACATTTTATAAATTATACTAATGTATTACATGTATATAGCTATGTTATTAATTTGTATTACAAAGTCAACCAACAATATATACACTTTCAAAGTTAATTTTCATTGGTTTATGTTCTGAAACTTGCAAAATTTATTATTTGTATGTAAATGTTTTGAAAAATAAAACCGTGGCTTATAAAACGAACATTTATCTATTTTTTGGGGCTCAATACAAATACAAAAGCACTTTAAGTAAGAGTATTGATATTGATTTCTTATATTTTCATGTGCACTATCCATAAATTATATAACTTTTATTTAAGAGTATTGATTTTTAATTAAGTTGTGTATTTCATTCGGGCATGCTTTTTTGCCGATTAGTATGAAATGATATGAATACTCATCATATTTTCATCATTCATCTGGATTGCCATTAATCCCATAATTAACTTATCATATTTAATATTAAAGTATATTTCATAAACTGAACTTATTAAAAGTCTTGCCTTATAATCTAAGATGAATTTAACGTAACATTGCCAGATCTTTCTTTAAAGGAGTACCTCTTTAGGTCTTTCGGACGAATTACATACGTAGATGCAACTTTTTTATAGGTTTATCTCTTTTAAATTACAGCAGCCACTTTAAAATAATCAGTAAAAAATAAGTTGCCTTTTTACATGTTATATCAAAGCGGTCAGAAATTATAGTCTTAAGTCTTAGTGTTCTCAGAGAAATTACAAATAGTAGAACATATTAAGTATATTTTTGTAGTAGGCTCCTAAAGTCGTTAATTACTTTTATGACATTCCGCTTGGAATAATTTAATAAATACGATACAAGTGCGACAGACTAGATATAGCATCAGTTCGGTCATGAAGCGGTATGTAGAGCGTTTGTCAACGCCAAAGCATTATACATAGTTAATGCAGACGTTAATAACCGCCGCACTACCATTCTCCGGTATACGCTTCAATACCCCAGGGCGTGCAGTCTCGACATTCATAGCGTTCGTTAAGTAGCAAAGGTCAATGACCGAGCCATTGCTAGGAAACTAACGAATATCGCCAATTTGATGGTTGCATAAACGTGCCTAACGAATAACAATATACCTAACTGTAGAGAATTGCAATAATCGTTTACTTACGATCGCTATGATCTAGCGATCGAATTCGGTAAGATTGCGATCGCAAACTCTGTCGAGGCTGCAGCCCCAGTAGGACAATTCTGTTAATGTTTATGTAATAATCGCATCTCAATAGAATCTCAAGAACTAGCATTTTGCCATTGTATTATCAACCTAAAGTCTAATATTATTAGTGCTATATCTTCTTCACAAATCAAAGGTGATAGATGTATTATAATATTGGTCTTTTGGTAGATAGTGCAATAGCATAGTACAAGTAGTTGATATTCTATCGAGATGCGATTATTACGTAAACATTAGCAGAATATGCCTACAGGACTTTTTGTGTTAATTAATTTTATTTCAACGTAGACTGGTAGATCCGTATCATACGTTTATCAATACGTTTCATAGAAATGCAAAAAAGGGCTGCTATCGCAGGTATCTTATGTCTTGTAATAATTTCATTAAACTGTTTTTTTCCTTTGAGATTTCAAAGATGAACTCTATTTATTAGCACTTACCAGATAGCCTTTTTTATGCTTGTTTTATATTTTGTAGAGCTCAATGAGATAATTTGCAAACACTAATAAATAAACTTTAATCTAAATTAGGTGCAATAATTTTCTTACACATGCGGTATGAAGAAAAAAATGTAAATATTTGTTGTGTCTATTATTAGATTGCATAGTACCTTATTTTAGTGTGCACTATGGTGAAAAAATACACTCAAAACTGGCAGTATCTTACGCTTGCGTTTACCGTGTGATGTGTCACTATTTCTAGTGTCTTAAGTACTTATATAGTTGGTTAACAAAGTTAACCTCGCTCTCCTTTGATACTACAACAAAGAAGAACATTTTAAGATTTTGATTGTATTTGTATGTGTACCAACAATGATGGTATTTCTACGACTTAATTTTAGGAACATTTTATTGTGCAAAACAAAAAACATTTAAGTAGAGCAACAGTAATATGTCGCAGTTATCTGGTTAAGACAGCCGTTCAATCGGGCGGCTAGCCTTTTAATTAGATAGTGTCATTCAATTGCACCGCTAGTTTTCTAGTTGAATCATTGTCCCGCCAAAACGTTCAATTAGTTTTGTTGTGTTAAAAAAAAACTTCTAAATTAAAGACGATCCCTACGTTACGCTTCGCCTACGACGTGATCTACAGGACTAAAATAACTAAGTTGTTTATCATTTTATGTTGTTATTAACTATTGTAGCACCAAAATTCGAAATCGTTATAAACATACTAAAATAATCGCAGTCAAATACAATTACTTGCTTTCGATAGATGGCGCTGTGGTCGTCTGAATCGCGGCATATCTTATTTTAACCATTAATACCTAGTCCCGATTAAGTAGTTTGTCATTATCTTTTTGAGAAATCAATTACAGATAACAAAGAGTTTTTGAGTTTTATATAAAACCCCCACTACAATATATATTTTGTTTATCTTAATATGTAGGATTAGACCATCGGTACTCCCGGTAAGTAGATAGTTAATTAGTTGGCTGATCTTCGTTCAGCTGATCGAAAGTCAGCCTATTAATTGAATGGCGCCATTCAATTAAAGGACTAGCCGCCCAATAGGTCGGGTGATTATACGACTTAGCTGCGACATATACAAAATATCCCAATTCTATAATGTTATATATTTTCTCTTACCTATGAATAAGGTTGATATTGAATATAAATAATTTCAAAAACCTAGTCTTACTTAAAGTAAAGATTCTATACAAATAAAAGCTCTGCAATCTCAACCGATAATGGATGCTACTTTCTACGAAGATTACTTTAGATCGTCATTGTGTTATTATAATGTTTATTAACATGTTTTACATGATTCATTACTACATCTACTATCAGAGGTAAAACCTATCACATCTTAACTCTAATCAATAAACTTTTCATATTAAAAGTTAGAATTAAAAAAAAAAAAACTAAATGCTTGTTGTTCGGCGCGACTATTTTGTAAAAATGCAGCGTCGAACAAAATTTGAGGTTCAATCTTATATAACCTTTACTTTTGAAATGTTTATTTGATTTAGCACGGTCGCCGAACAGGAAGAATATCGTACGTTGACCTTTGTGGTAAACATTTTAGGTTCACTTTACTATGGCAAAATTGGCAAGATACATCTGTGCGAGCGCAATAACAATATGTTTGTGCGCGAGTGAAAGAGATATGTAGTGCCGGGTCATTGTTCGAAATTCTTTCTGTTCGGCGACAGCGCTATAGAACCTATAATAATATTACAGCACTGTTCGATGCTATATTTTTAATAGAATAGAATTGCAGATTACGGCTTTAAGTTTTAAAAAATGTAGTAATTTAAGCATTTATACATTCACATGTGTGGTGACCAAATATTTTCTTTTTATTTTGTGTACAATAACAATGAGAATGAATTAAATAAGTAATTATAGATTTATTGTTTTCATTCATATATTTATAACTATATTTACAATATTTGTTTTCCTCTTAATATGTTAGACAAAATGCTGGCCCATTCTAACTTCTTTGGCTTTTCAACGGGTGGACAAAAATTATTTACCAAATAGAATATTGATTTGTTGAACAGTATCAGTCTTATTGATAATGGCGACCCTTTTTTAGAATCGATTACTTCTAGAAGGATATTTCCTGAAAAAAATAAATTGTCGATTAACAAATCTAAAATAAGTATAGTAAATAAGGAAATACACCTAACATAGGGACAGTTATTTCTCAACACGTTTTATGAGAAGACTATCATCCGGTTTCTGAATTGAAAGAAGTGCAAAATCTCAACTGATTATTCTCAATAACTTAAGTTTTTTACGTTTCACAAGTCAAAAAGTCCTGGTTTTATCAACTGCTATGAACTGAAACCTGTTTAAGTGACGTTTTAGTCAAAGTCAAAATAATCTTTATTCAAATAGACTTCTTAAAAGTACTTTTGGATCGTCCAACATTTTTTTCCTTACCACTCGTTCAGGACGTCTTTTGGCTGATAAGAAGAACGAAAAAGAAACTCACCAGCTCTAATAGGAGTAATGACATTTACAAAAACCATTACCAGATGAAAAAAACTATGGTCTTATAATGATAATGTAATCATTTATTAATAATGGAAAATACAGTTTGAGATGTTCATAACTAAACATTTTTAATTCAGAAACTGGTAATATTACCTGTGAAGAAGAAATCGTAAATAGACTTGTAAGGAATCGTAAATTAAAAATTGTAATTGTACACATGACTATTAGTATATAAGAAAAAAAAAAATCCTTCAAAGCTCTCTTACCTGCCACTTTCGGAGAACGAAGCAGCCACAAACTTACGACGTACAATGGTAGAGTTTGAAGAATATAAATTAATTTTGCCAATGCATACTGTACTAACAATGACAGCATTCGAAACTGAAAATAACATTAGATAAATAATATCAACAATAAAAAGGAAATTGGGACGCTAAGCTATATCATTGAAAAAGGGAATATCTTGGCAGAATAGACGGGTGGCAACCTAGCAATACTATAATTAGTGCTCTAAAAATATATACACTCATTGAGGCTTATTTTATTCAATTTTCTTCAATTCGCTTTGATTCTAAGTAAGTAGAAATAATAAAATGAAACTCACCAACGTGAAAACAATGTAATACATAGTTGTTGTGGGTAACAAAAGCAACAATATCGTGAAAGCAACTGTACCAACAAACAACTCCTGGTTGGAATATTCACACGAATCTATACTACCTCTGAGAGGATTGTATTTTCTTCCAACGAAAAAACGCATCAAAGCAATCAATCCAGACACTTGTATATTGAACATTCTGAAATAATATTTAACACAAAAACAATTAGTTAAAATATTAAAGAGGTACCTATCTGTGATGTTAGATACTATACATATTAAATAATCTGCAACTCTTTCACCATAGGGAATGAACAGTTTTAAGTAGGGCATAGGTTATACTATAACTTAATTTGATCAGCTTTACATATTTGGAAGGAAATGGTGGCGGAATACGCACAGTGATCATCGAAACGTAAATAGCTTTAGAAATATATGTCTTTTTGTAGTTCCACAACGCTCTTGAGATTTATATGATTTCAAAAAGTTGCTATTCCTTATCCACCACACTGGCGCAACTACATAAATACCCATTCCCTCTGTTAATTATTGTGATGCGCAGGCTAACAGCTATCAAAAATGTGATTTATAATAAAACTATGAGCACCAAAAATGTATTATCTCAAGCTTCCATGTTTCGGAAGGTTCATTAAGCCATTGGTACCGGTTGCATCTGCAGTACGAAACACCCACGAATCCATATCACAGCCTGTGTTTTGGCTCATTGACCCTATTCAATTTGATTCACGATTCACAATGTGGGGACCTAAATAGACTGCTGATGATGATGAAATATGGCCATTTGTATGTACAAATTATATTATTTCAATTAAATTTTAAAAATTTCATGTGAAAGTGTAGTATTTCAAAAGCCTTGAAACAAATTCTTTCACCACTACATATATTGGAGTTGTTCTACTATGCATACACTATGTACCATTGTGATTCATAGTGAAAAGCTTATAAGTAAAATTGTTCTTTTAAATAAAATTATTATATTATTATAAAATATAATAATTTCAATATATTATATTATTATAAAAATAAATTATGTACCTGGCAGCATACACATAAATGCAATAAGAATGGAATGTTGCCACAGAAATCATGTCTGATATTACTGCAGCTTGAAATGTGAAACCTAAATATCCCAGATAATAATATAAATGTAAAATATGATCAAATTTTTCTCCAGAAACATCTGAAAAAAAAAAATTTGTGAAAGAAATTTATATTATTTACTTTTATATTATTATATTAATAAGTATTAAAGGTGTTAGTGTATGTTTTGGGCACCGAAGAAGACTGAAAATATCTAAACACAGTTGTAACCTTTTTTACTCACTAAATATTGTTTATACAATAAAGTCTTATAGATAGCGTGCAATTGGGGAGGCCTATGTCCAGCAGTGGACGAATATGGGCTGATGATGATGATGATGATTATAGATAGCTAAGATAAGAATTACAATTCGGTGAGCACAGGCGGTCTTATTGTTAAAAGACATTATTTTCTAGACAAAATTTTGAGACATTAACATTTAAAGGGAGGAGGGGATTTGAATAACATTTGAAGGGAGGAGGCAAAGATAGTGTGCCAAGAGCGAAAAAAGCAATTAAAGTAAAATATATAAAACATTGATGAAACAAAAAATCATATAAAAATACATAAATGTTGCAAGCTAAGATCTATGTAAAAGACTCTTATGCAATTTAGATTTCAATACGACAACATTTTTTGCATGTCAGAGAGCAGTTGCCAGCTTTTTCAGAGACCAGCAACTTTAATGGTAAAGGACTTATGGTAGTTATTATACAAAATTATAATTACCTAAAAACAGCCACCACAGTTGGACATGGTAAGAAAAGTACTTCCCAAGCATTTTATTAAAAGCATTGTTTAATTTTAGTCCAGCGGGAGCACCCATTAACCACTTTAGTAGAAAATAGAGCATGTTTATAAGTTTCTGGAAAATAATAAGATGTTAATATAATCATTTTTAAGTATTGGTTGAATTTCAAATATAACTCAAAGGTACAGTCCACAGGTCCTAATTCATATCAATCTTTATATATAATTCACTACCAAAATTATTCAGACTGGTAATGTTCAATGACACCTTAGATATGTTGAGTTTTTGGGTTAACAAATTAATACAAAAATACTACATAGAAAATCAAGAAATATTCTGAATAGTATCTTTTTGACAAACTAGCAAAAACTTGCAAATTCACAAACAGTATATTTGTTCTCTATTTAAATAAAACTAAAATATAAAGAGTTTTACCTCCAACATACCCATTAATATGGTACTTAGTTCATTTTTATATTGTGCGAGATAATGTAATGCAAGGTACCCCAAAAAAATGTCCATAAGAATTGACAGCAATAAATTGCCATGTTTTATGGAAATCTGAAACATAATATTTAAAATAAAATTTAAGATGTTTTATAATAACATTGTTTATGACATATCAATTATGTTTTAACTTATGCTTAAGGTGTTCAAGCAATTTTTATGAGCAAAACAAAAAATACTCACTTTTCTATTTCTTTTGACTGACATCACAGCCCAATGAATAATATTAATATAGTTAATAATATGCTGAATGAACATTGAGGATGCTAACCACGATGGGCACATAATTAATGGTTCAGAACACATGATGTTTGATTGATCATCTTGATTTTGTATTAGTGATTGTAACTTTGAAAACATGTCATCAAACTCCCATTTGACCTCAGAATTCACAATTTTTTCGTAGTCATATAATATAACGATACAATCTGCTAAATCAACTTGCTTTCCATTCAAATATACATCCTTTATTTTAGGTTCGATGTTATGGTCAATGATTACTATATTGTTATACCTTTTTAACACTTTTTTGTTCAAGTAATGCCGCCTTTTATCATAACATCCATAAACAACATTATCAATTTCACAACGCTTTCTTTCAAATTGTGTTTTTTCCGTTGAAAAATTAGTAAAATAAATAATTATCTCTAAATCTGAATAATAAACATAACCTCCAAAAAAAAATTCTTCACAGGGTTGAACTAGTCTCGGAAGTAGTATTCGTATCACAGGTGCCATTTAATAAGTAAATATAATCTGAGACCGCCCTTACATAAATATTGTCTGTGCACATCCCTTAACTAACCGGTGTTAACCAGTACATACCTACCACGCCCGGCCTGCGTAGCCGTCGGTCGTCCATGCGCCCGCCATTTTAGTTAGTGCGAGCCGGAGCGCATTCGAGTGAGCACGTATCACTTTGATATAAATTTATATACCTAAATGTGTGTAAACGGCGTTTTACAAATTAATAAAACTTGTGATTGTGCCTCGGTGTTTCAACAAGCCACCTACTACGCCCACCCCATTCAGCTCCCGCCGAGCTAAACTGGCTCCCAACGTGTTTGGTGTAGTAGTGACGTAAACTGACTTCCAACGCGTTTGGTGTAGTTGTTACGTAAATTGGCTTAAAAGTTCAGCTGACGCTCAACGTAATAAGAAACCAGGATGCCCATGAACACTAGAAGTAGATCGGCAGGTGGGGGAAATAGAGAAGATGCGGCGCAACAGCCCGTATACCCCAACCCTCGACCGCCCATGATGTCGCCGGCGCGCGACGACGAACGCCGTGACTCCGATGGTGCCGCTCCTCACATCGCCGACATGATGTTCACTAATGACAACGTTGCATCAATCATAGCTTCACTACAAAGATCTCAAACGGAAGCCTTTCGGGATCTGCTACTCTCCGTTACGCGCGGAAACTCATCGACTCCAGTCCCGACGACAGGCGAAAGTACTTTAGCCCGCTGCAAAGCACAGTTTGCTGGCCGACGTAATGAGTCAGTGGAAGCGTTCATAGATGCTGTCGAAGCGTACAGTGAGTGTTCAAATGTTAGCAACGTTAATATACTCCGCGGACTATCATACTTACTAATTGAAGAAGCAGCTACGTGGTGGCAGGGCGTGAAATCTACGATAACTTCATGGCAAGAGGCGAAAGAAAATCTTGTTAGTGCCTACGGCGACCGCCGCCCGCCATACCGTATTTTTAAGGAGCTCTTCGCAAGTCCACAACTCGTGACCGAGAACACGGATATTTTTGTGGCGCGCAGTCGCGCTTTATTGTCAAGAATCCCCTACACGGACGTCTCGGAAAAGGCACGACTCGACATGATATACGGCCTTCTTCATTCTAAAATACGTAAACGGCTTCGAAGAGAAGAATTTGATACATTTAATGATTTTTTACGTCATGCACGTAATGTGGAAGACAGCCAGGCGGAGACCGACGTATTTAAACCAACGTCGGCACCGTTTCGCCAAGGGAAACAAAGTTCATCGCGTTATGTACAGCCGTCGCCATCGACGTCGACGTGTTATAAAGAGACTGTCGCGAAATGTGAGCCCATTAAAAATAGTGAAAAGTTAAACGTACAAAAAAGTGAAATAAAGTGTTACGGTTGCGGTGCCGCGAACGTTATCAAATCAAAGTGTACTAAGTGTAATCCGAACAAGTCATTTTACTCGGTCGAGTCGTCGCATCAAAAGCAGAACGCCGTAAGCGCGCCTTTCCGTTCGGTTCGCAGCTCGGCGTTATCAACTGATAACAGAGACGTATTGAGAGGTAACCCTACGCATGTCGCGGGGGATTTTCATTCTAACCCTTCGTCGGACTCTCGTCGAATAGATTATAATAATCATCGTATTATAAGCTTATGTTTTAATAGTAAAACATTATGTAATAATAAAAATGACGGTTCACAAACTTCTCTATTGCAAAATGTAAATGATTTTAGTGGTGATAATTCATTTCACAATTATTTAATTAATTCTATCAATAATAATTTTGACACAAAGTGTGTATGTTGTAAATTAGAAAATATTTGTTTAAAACAAAGTTATTATGTATATAATTCATGTATTAAACAAAGTTATGATTGTTTGAAAAATAATAATTGGCGTACTGAAATGTCATGTCATTTAATGTTGGATAGGTCAAATAATAATGATAACAGTGTACTGTCTGAGAATTTGGAACTTGATGATATAAGAAAATATAGAAAGAATGTTTGTTCAAATAATTTTAATGAGATTTCTTATGAATGTAATAATAATGAAATGTCTTGTAAAATGCCATTCCAACGTCCTGTTTTGAATATTTCTATTAAGGGTTATAATGGTACTGCATTGGTTGATTCAGCGGCTAGAACTTGTGTAGCAGGTCACACACTGCACGCACTCCTAAAACAAATAGGATGTAAATTAGTATTGTCAAAACAATATGTAAAATTGGCAGATGGTATTAGGAGAGAAATGGATGTACTTACCACGGAGGTGGATGTGACACTTGAACATAAGACAAATTGTGTACCATTTTTGATTTTTCCAGAGGCAGATAGTAATGAAAGCCTTTTAGGAATAGATTTCTTAACTATGTTTAATCTTGTATTTGATTTTGGTAATCACAGCTGGTATTTTACTGAAAATAAAGAAAAACAATTTGAAATGCTTTTTGAAAATGTGTCATCTCCATCTTTGTGTGCTGCAATAGATGTACTTCGGGATGATGAGGCAACTTCACTTAGCAAAGAGCAACGTGATGTTCTCGCTCGCGTCTTAATTGATAATATGGATATCTTTGAAGCAGGGGGAGGCCCAACTCCTTTTGCCGAGCATATAATAGATACTGGTGAGCATCGACCCATCGCAGTTCCGCCATATAGGTTGACGCCTGCCAAAAAGGAGGTTATGCGCGCTGAGGTAGAGAAGATGTTAGAAGATGATATTATTGAGGAGTGTGAATCTGCCTGGGGTTCACCTGCGTTGCTTGTACCTAAGTCTAATGGAAAGGTACGTTTCTGTGTCGATTACAGAAAGTTAAATGCGGTCACTAAGACCGATGTTTATCCTATGCCGTTAATAGATCAGCTTGTTCAGTCTACAAAGAAAAATTGTTTTATGAGTTCCATTGATATGCGGAGTAGCTACTGGCAGGTTTCTGTTCGGGAACAGGATCGAGACAAAACAGCGTTTCTAACGCCGTTCGGAACATATCGTTTTAAGAGAATGCCGTTCGGTTTAAAGAACGCACCTTCGACGTTCCAGCGTTTAGTAGATAGGCTGCGTTCTGGCGTTTCTTTGAAAAACGTCACCTTACTGGCTTACCAAGATGACATTTTAGTATTGAGTGAGGGTACTTTTGAAAAACATATGTCTGATTTACGTGCAGTCTTCGAGAGGTTGCGCTTATTTAAGCTTAGAGCGAATAGGGAAAAATGTGTCTTCGCACGAGATAAAATAAAATACCTTGGTCATATTATTTCACAGGATGGGATTTCACCTGATGAAGATAAAGTACGTGCAGTAGTAGAAATGAAACCACCATCATCGTTGCGTCATCTCAGAACATTTATCCAGACATGTTCCTGGTTTAGGAAATTTGTGCCGAATTTTTCTGCTGTCGCAGAGCCGCTAACACGCCTGTTAAAGAAAAATCAACCTTGGTATTGGGGACCAGATCAAACTAGCGCGTTCGAAGAGCTGAAGAGGCGTTTATCGTCGTCGCCTATACTGGTTCAGGCTGATTATAAAAAACCGTTCATATTACGAACAGACGCTAGTAGTTATGCACTCGGTGCAGTTTTGTTACAGGGCGAAGAAAAAGACGAGCGGCCTATAGAGTACGCCAGCCGCCTTCTTACGCCTGCTGAAAGAAACTATAGCACAACCGAGCGCGAGGCGCTTGCGGTCGTGTGGGCTGTTGAACGTTTTAGAGGTTATATCGAGGGTCATGATATAATAGTAGGAAGTGACCATCAACCTTTAAAATGGTTACTTACCTTAAAGTCGCCGTCGGGTAGATTAGTCCGTTGGGCATTAAAGCTACAAGGCTTTAATATTCAGTTTCAGTACACGCCAGGGAAGGCAAACGTCGTTGCTGATGCGTTGAGTCGTCCTACCTGTGAAGAGAAAGATGAAAATCAGTGTGGAGTTTGTTCGGTCGTTGTAGACTTACCTGCTCGAAGTCCCGCCGATCTTCGTCGCATGCAGCTCGATGACCTGGAACTAAAGAAAATAATTGATGAATTAGAAGATATGTCAGATCCAAATTCTATAGGTGCAAAACGTTGGTCTGAACGGGGGTATTTTATTCAACAAGGTGTTTTATACAGATATAATCCTGATATTGATTGCGAGGATCCACAACTGGTGGTACCGTTATCATTACGTCATAATATAATAAAGGAGTGTCATGACTCTGAAATGGCTGGACACCATGGTGTTGAAAGGACTTATAATAAAGTTTTGCAAGGATTTTATTTTCCTGGTATGTATAAAGCGATAAAAGATTATGTGAAAACTTGCACTACTTGCCAGCGTTATAAAGCTTCAAACACAAAACCATCAGGTCTGTTACAGACACCAGTTCTGAGTCAAAGAGGAGAGGTTGTAGCTATTGATTTGTTTGGTCCGCTTCCAGCTGGAGACGAGGGGGAGCGATGGATTTTGCTCATCGAAGATATAGCAACTCGTTGGGTAGAACTCTACCCACTAAAAGAAGCCACTTCAGAAGCATGTGCTCGTATGTTGATTGAAGAATATTTTCTTCGTTATGGTCTTCCACGCCGTGTTGTGTCGGACAATGGTGTGCAATTTGTGTCTGCAGTAATGCAACAATGTATGTTCGTTTTAGGAATAACACAGGAGCTGACACCACTTTATCATCCATCGGCAAATCCTGCTGAAAGGAAAAATCGCGATATGAAATTTCAATTGTCTCGCTTGGTAGAGTCCAATCATTCGTCATGGCCTCAACATTTGCCAATCGTCAGGTTTATAATGAACTCTGCTGTTTGTCAAAGTACTGGTGTTACTCCGGCATACATAATGTTTGGAAGAGAGCTTCGTACTCCAGTTGATGTCCAACATGATATTAGAGCTATCTTAAGCAAGGATAATTTCGTTCCACAGATTACACCTTATTTAAAGAAATTTGTTGATTCACTTATTTCAGTAAAAGAACGTGTTGAATCACAACAGGATAATCGTAAAGAGTACAGTGATAAGTCTCGGAC